TATTATAGCAATATTCGTTGCTAAGTTATTTCTAATACAAGTTGAAATAATTGAAATGGGACACTTGCTTGACCTGGGACACTTGCTTGTCCTGACTGTGACCGAGAGCCCGCAGGTCACAAAGTCAGTGCACTGACTATTAGTTATCGAACTATTTCAATTTTTTGAAACGAGCTTATCAGTAAGCTTATTTTTAAAAATATGTAAAAGAAGATAGCTCTAGGACGGCCATACTAGGACGGTCCCAAGCTCGGGGACGATTAGAAAGGTGAACTATTCTTGATTTGGAACTGGTACTGATTTTAGACGGTGTAATAACCCGTCTTCTCTGATGAAAGAAGGTCGCAGGACCGCTCAGATGACCTCCTACCTGCCTTTAAGGTATATTTTCAATTTACATTTGTCAAGCAAAGTTTTCTAAGCATGTAAAATTTTTATTTATTTATATTTACATTAATACTTGTTGTTTAATGAGTACCGGTAATATACCGTTACTGTCCCGCCTTGGTGGTGCCGACTTGCTAGCCCAAGTCGGTCAATTCCTTCGAATTAAACTTAAGGAAACCGACGATTAGCCCCGGAAGTAGTCAATCAGTTATACTTTCCAAATTTTTTTTGTCTCCAATATCGAAAGGCTTTGCATTGTAGCAACAACTGCTCTCCAGCTATCTATCATATCACATCCATGTATCTGCTGTGGGTACAGCTAAACCGACCAACCGATCCCACTCCTGCACCATTTACCGAAGAAAAAACTCGTTCCCAAGAGACGTAAAATGAGCCAACCCAACCAGCCCCAAGTGATTAATTAGAAATACCATCTATCCATGCGATCTTTCCTAAGCCTTCTCTACATATACATGACATGACTACATGCATACAACGCCAGCGAATGAACTCCAAAAGCTGTCACGAAAAAGCGAAGCGTTTTCGGCCTCGTGAGATAGGCAGCCCCCCCAAACCCCCCTCTGCAAAGTCCGCTTGTTTGTATCAGAGACTTTTTTTTATTTTTATTTTCATTTTTAAATTTTTTGGGGGGAGCCTGAAGAATGCTAGCTAGCTCGCGGTGTGGGTGTCGGTGTGTGTGTGGGTCGTTGAATCTTGATAGCCTACTAACCAGTGAAGATGGAGTGTGTGCGTATAGTTTCAATGCAATAATGGCACAGTCAGACAGACCGACAATCGGAAATGCTCCATCGCTAGGCAAAAGAGGAAAACTCCACAGAGCGCCCCTTTCCTCTTCGTCGAGGGAAGAGAAGGAAGGGAGCCCCGGCCGGTGATGGTGGCTGAGCTGAGCCGAGCCCAGCCGAGATGAGTTGCGGAGGTGAGGTTCAGAGGGAAGGGAAGATTGCAGTGGCATGCATAGGTACCTATATGATAACACATCAAAGAGCTTAAAGATAAAGAGAGCAATGGCTCGAGTAAAACGAAACACCTCTCTCTCCATTCTCCATTCACACACCGCCACCTGGCTGGCTCTCACTCCACTCCGCTCCACTCTACTCACACTATCCTAGACCGAATTATTATATATATTATATATATATATATATATATAGCACACAAGACCGACCTTCCTTTCCGAGCATCCCGCCTCGGCCTCCCTGCTCCTCTTCCTCCTCTTCCTCTTAGTAGCCACCGAATCGATCATTCCTCTATCACTTCAGCCCCCCTTCTACCCTACCCCAAGTGATCATAACCCGTTGGTCCTCCTCTCAAACACCAATATCTTTCTAAACTCGGACTGGGCATCACAAAACAAGCCATCCAAGATCCACAACAAGCAACCACATATGAAAAGCATTTACAAAACGCACGCCGCAACCACCCAACCACAATAATCTCGTTGCCCAGCGGAGTGACAGCAAGATATGACGAGTGCATAAATGCAAATATGCTATACAATCCCATGCGTGAATCTGTTTGTTTATCAATACAGCCCTCGTCGCCAGTTGAGTCCCGCCAGAAAATCAAAACACCATGCTAAAGGTCCCAAAAAAAAAAGCCCCACCACCAAAACAGATTCTACCCAACGCCGAACACGGCGCTCGCGGCCCACCTCTGTCCGAGTAGGTTGTTTTTGTTGCTTAACCCGCCTCAAGTGTGATGGGCTAGGGTCTTGCGATGCGCTTCGACCGCCTACTACTCCCCTGCGGCGGAAGATCGCCAAAGTGGGCTTTATACCGTGCCAACTCCTTCAGCTGCGCTTCCAGCGCACCCATGATGTCCTCCATTGGCGCCCGGAGCTGATTCAGATCGCCGAGTGGGACTTTGCCGATTGCGAGGTGGCGGGTGGCGAGGGTGGAGATGCAGGTCTATCATAATATCAGTCAACCATCTTCTTTTCCTATAGCACAAGGGGACATACCTCGATCCGAGCAACCTGATGCGTCAAAAAATTAACCAAAAATCTGTCCGTAACCTCCCCGCCCTTGTACTTCATCTTCTCCAGCATCGCCGTCTCAGGTGGCTGCAACGCAACATCATGTCCCTTCTCCGCCTCCAAACTCGAACACAGCATCTCCAGCCTCAAGCTCACATTCCACAGCGCCCACACACATTCCGTATCAATAGTAAGCTTGCTCTGCTTGGACAATGCCACCGGGTCTTCAACTTGGATCAGCTTTTCCATCTCCGCGATGCGTTGCTGGTGATGGATGCGTCCAGAAAGCGCGTGAGGATACATCAGGTAGATATATTCGGGATTTTCCAGTCCTTTGAGTTTGCGCTCACCAAGATCTTTGACTTCGAAGCCTTGGCTGGAGAGGGAGCGGAGCTCGCGGCGAATGGATAAGGATAAGACATCATTGTCAAAGGCGTCTTCAGAGCCCGTGGAGCCTAAACGGTCGCTCTCGCTGTACGTTTCCAGACAGCGCTGGATTTCGGAAATGAAGTCCGCAGAGACGGTGATTTGACCACCATCTGCTACCGATGAGATACGAGAGGCACGGTTGACCATGGGGCCGAAGTAGTCCATACGTCGAGTGACGGGGTCGTGCTCGCATACTGGGCCTCCCCAGTGGATGCCCATTCGCACGCTTAGACCTTTGAAGATCAGAGTGTGGTCGTTGTCGTAGACTTCTTGGCCTAGGGAACTAGAAAGTACTTCGGAGGGCCATTGGACTTCTAGCAGGGCTTGCTGGACGGCAAAACACCAAAGAAGGGCTGAAGTGGCGGTTGGGAAAGAGACCATGAATGCATCACCTTCTGTCTTGACTTCGTAGCCCCCAATGATGCGTAGCTGGCGACGCATGACCTCGTTGTGGAGTTTGATTGCGGATCGCATTGCGCTTGGGAACGTTTCCCAGAGCTGTGTTGAGCTTTTGATATCAGTGAAAACGATGCTGAGATCCCCGATAGGAGCCTGGACTTCCGCCTGAAGTCGACGAAGCCCAGAATCCTCGACAGTCTCCTTCTTCTTGGTGCGTCTGGCGGGTGCGTAGCCAGAATCCTCGATTATGGTATTAGGATGAAAGAGCAGACTTTGTACTCGGTGCGGCCGAATCTGAGCCCGTTTCTTCAGATCACTGACACCCATCATCATGACCATCAGCTTATTCGTAGCTCCAAAGGCAATGGCATAATCCCTTAACCTCTGCGCCGCCCTCATCAAATCGTTACGTTCCAATCTTGCAATGTCAACAACAAGTTCAGGAGACAAATACTCCCAAAGCTCCCGCGAGGCAACCAAAATCATCTCATCCTGTTCTTTGACCGTGACCTGCGTAATGTGAGGTGCAGCTTGCACAGCAGGCATGAGCTGTACATAACCGAATGCACGTGAAACCCCCAAGATATCATTGAGCTTCCCTTGTCGTGAGACCCAACCACCAGCGTCGCGGATACGTTGTCGCTCATTTGGCTCCGCAGGGTCATGCTTCCTCGTCAGAATGCGGTGACCTCCCTCAGAATGAATGAGCATAGCTTGGGCGTCTCCCACATTGGCAACATATAGCTCGGACTTTTGTAAGAACAGCACTGTTGCCACACCTCCAGAATTCAAATCGGCTTGGTTCAGGACTGCAGGTGCAGCTGACCCTCGGTGGGATAGCAAGGATCTCTCTTCAGTGTGCTGTGTTGCAGCTGTAGCCAGATCTTTGTTGAGAGACAGGAAAGCTCGCCTAAGCGCATCTGCGGGAGTTTCATTGGACGTCATGAGTATCTTCTTCAACTCCTCGGTGAAAATAGGAATAAAGTTTTCATGGAGATACTTGGCAATCTTCGAGCCACCGGCAGACAGTGCTTGCCCATCAAACATTCCAAGTAGGGTCTCGGTCTCTGACGAATTGAACCGAGGGACGACCATATCTATGATCGACAGATGCTCGTTACGACCCAACGTATCCGCCATCCCATACGCCAGCTGTCCGGCAAGCGAGCCTGAAGTTCGAACTCTGCGGTCTTCAGTCTCATCTGGCGTTGTGGGAATTGTCAGTGTTACATCCATCAGACCAAGAATCCTCAGCTGTTGCAAAGCACTGAAGTCTGTGAGGTCGCGAACATCTCGACTGCCCGCCCCATTCAGTGATGAAGGCTTGATCTCGAGACGCTTATTTCCAGACAGATTCAGGTACCTCAAGTTAGTATTCCAGTTCCAATTCCAATCGTATGGCCAGTTCGACACGTTATACTTCAAAGAGTTGCTACCGCAGTCAAGCACAACCAGTCTGTGTGCTTTGCCAAGTTCGGCTGGGAGAGTCTGGAACTTATTGCCGTTTATATGCAGAACCTGCAGGAGACTGAACTCCTCGAAGTCATCGGCCGGAAGCGAGGTTAGTTCATTACCGGACAAGTAAAGCTCCACTAGTTGGGGCCAGCTTTTGAGTGTCCTCTGCGGCATGTCGTTGAGGTCATTGTATGACAGGTTCAAGATGCGTAGCTCAGGTAGCATGATCAACTCGTCGAAAACGTCATCGTCAAGCTGATTGTCCGCCAGGTAGAGGTGCTTCATCGAACCAGCAAAGGTGTTAAGCAATCTCGCTGAAAAACCCGAGTCTTTTCGTACTAATGTCTGCGTCCCGATGGTATCCTGCGACGCGCTCCTGGACACGACCGAGGTTTGTCGACCGCCTTTTCCATAGACGGATACCAGAGAACTCTTTCTATCCGGTCCACCTGGAACAGGCGAAGGTGAAACACTGAGGAGTCCACTCGATGCTTGGCTAGGCCTCCTTTGATCAAAAGCCTCCAGCGGGCCCAATTCCTCAAAGCTCGAATTATTCGAATTCTGGCCAGGACTGCCAGTGATCCGGCCTTGCGAGACCACAAGAGAATCACCGGGAACTTGAGGCGCTCGGGAAGCTGCTTTAGGGAAATTGTCCAGTACGTTCGACGAGATATTGAGCGTCTCCAGTTTGCAAGCCCACCAAAGCTCCATAGGCAGTTTCTTCAGATTATTCTCCCGGACATCAAGGAAGCGCATTTCCGTGAGGCAACCCACCTCTGGCGGAAGACTGCTCAATGAATTTCTAGCGATGCTGAAGTGCTCTAATTTTCGTAGCTTGCCGATATGACTTGGAAGGGAGACGAAGTGATTCTTGTCCAGAACAAGCTTAACAAGGTTCGGCATCTTGTCGAAGACAGCATCCGGAATATGGGCTAATTTGGCATTCGACAAAATGAGAGTTGTGAGTGTTGGGACGGCATTGAGAATCTCAAACTTGGTCACAGGGTTCGAGTTAAGTCGCAGCACCCGGATTCTGGTAAACTCGGACTCGCAAACAGAGACGGAATTATGATCTGCAGATATCTGTTCGACCCTGGGTAGCTTGGCGATAACATCGATACTGGAAAGTGCGTTGTAGCGAACATCAACTTCCTTCATGTTCAAAAGTTGTCCAAAGGAGGCTGGAAGAGAGCCATTCAGACGATTGTTGGTAATGACGAACCGCTCGAGATTCCTGAGCTTGCCAATCTCGTCGGGCAGGTTTGCGATGCTGTTAAAACTCATATCGATATCGACAAGACCTTCGAGATCGCAAAGAAACTCCGGGAAAGAGTCCAGAAAGTTGGAAGACATGTTTAGAGTCCTCAACGACTTGAACCCGCCGAAGTAGGTCGGCAAACTCCTCAGTCGATTATTTGCTAGTTTCAGGCTGATCAAGCCCTGAAGTCTGGAGAGCTCCGCATGTTCAAGTTGCTCCAGTCTGTTATTAGACACATCGAGTATGGTAAGCCGGCTAGCTCGGCTAAGACTAGGAGGGAGTTTCCATGCTTCGTTGTTGATAAACTTGATGTCGCGTAGATTTTGACACGACTGAATAAAGTCCTTAGGCAGGTCAAGAGACAGATTCCGAGACAGGTTGAGGGATATGATCTCAGAAGCTTTCGAATAGAGTGAGATGGGGATAGTGACTAGGTTGCGGCCAGACAGGTCAACATGGCTATACTTCTGCACCCGTTGCACTCCTGGCTCATTAGTCACTGTCGCATAGCCGGTCGCTCTCGCAGGAACAAACGAGAATCGACAAAGATAACTGTTGTCTTCTCTCCCTACGTCCTCAATTTTGTCATGGGCCTCGTAACCGGCTTGCTCCAGCAGCCTCTTCTGGATGACCACCGGCCTTTCACCGGCTCCCAGAATTCTTTGCAAATCGTGCTTCTTCATCACAATCTGATAGTTTTCCAGGCTGTCTGACATATACGTCTTCCTCCCGACTTGACTTATCACTTCCGTAACCGTAGAATTGAGAGGAGTAGATAGGGTAACGAATGTGCCATCAATCCTGAAAATTCGAATACAAAACGGTAAACCTTTCTCTTCAGCCTTCGGCGGGATTCCAGCTTCGTCAACTTCAGATAATCGCGACATGTTATCGTCGTCGACCTTTTTCACCGCCCAACTGTCCGGCGCGTTCCAGCCCAGACCGCCAGCACTCTCGGCATCGACTTTGGCCTCATCCTCCACATTGCCAACAAAAATGCTGTTATCCAAAGGCGTCAGCTGAGGCGGCTTTGCCAATATACCCTCCATGTTCGATAGATTTGTATCCAGGCTGAAAACAGATCCAAGAGTATTATCACGCCTCCCCTCCACCTGATCAGCTGAATAGTCCGTTTCATCTGCCACTTTAGACTTCCCCCTTAGAAAAGGCAGCCTAGTCAAGGTCCCTTGCCGTTGCGCACTAGGCCGTGGCGATGGTAGGCCATTGTCAAACCTCGGGAGAGTGGTATCTGATGATCCTCCTAAACTCACTTCACGACCCCATTGTCCGAACTCGGCAGGCCCGTAGCTTCTCCCGTTCGATGGAGGTGTGGCGAAGGCGCGAGACGAGCGTGACAAATCCTTTAATCGAGACTGCGGCTCCTCCTTATCCTTTGCTTTTCGAAACCGTCCCAAGATTCTCCTTTTCGTGGATCCGCCTGTAGGGGAAGTCGATCCGTCATTCGCCGAACCTTTGCCTATGGCTGTCTTGCCGCTCCAAGTGCTCGATCCACTCGGTGTCGGGCTGACTGGTCTTTTCGCGAGACTTAAATTTGAGGAGTTTCCGATAGCTGTACCCATGGAAGTCGGCGCCCGATCTGCATACCTCGAGCTCATCGCCGAACTTTCCCTACTGATTGTGGGTCGTAGCGGTCTTGTGTCCTCGCTGCTTCTGTTGTGTCGATGGCTGGGCAGGTGCCCGGAACGTTGAGAGGTTTTCGGCGGGACCTGTGGGCTGTCGCCGGTTGTATATCTTCCTTTGTCTGGTCCTGAGAGTTTTTCGCGAACTGGTGCCTCTCCGTACTTCGGAATGTCCTAGGCTGAGATCAGTATTCGACGGTTGCCAGAGAGTATTGAGATGAAATGAAAACGCGTCGGAATGGGTATTGCAGCTCAAAGCTGACGAGTGCCTCCTGCTTCAAAGGAAATCCCAGGAGGGAAACATCGACCGAGACAATATCTCGTAGTGCAGGAAAATTTTTCTGTGTATGTAATTGAATAATAGGAACTGACCTTAGAGTCCTGGTATAAGAATGGAACCACATCACTGGAGGGGATCGGTGATCGGGGACGTGATGGGCCTGGCGAGGCGTCTCTCTGTGTTTTGTCTGTCGCAGAAGAAATATTCCTTTCCCTGTGACTGCGAGCAAATGAATGCGACCGAGCCTCCTTCCCATGAGAAGGAAGGCTCGTATCAGAGCTATCTCGGCCTGGAAAGTCCTCGCCAAAGAAGGTTTGCAGCTTTTTATGTATGCCCTGTCGCGATACACTCGACTTCGAACCCTGACTGCTGGCCGTCGCCACACTAGCGACAGACGGCCGCCTCTCGTCTTCAAAATATGAACGGTCTGTATTCAAATCGCTGGGATTCGCGTTCCCCGCCACACCCATCCCCGACTTGAGGCCGGGTGAAAACTGAGAGCCTTGCGACAGGTTGTCGCTGGAGTCATTGTAAAAGCTGGTGCCGAAGGCGGTGGTGGGGGAGGTCACGATACCGTTCGAGTTGGACATCCACGGAGCAACTGGATTCGCTCCCAGCGCCGTCGGGGGCTGTTGTTGGATCTTCGGGATGGAGCCGCTTCCGGTTTGGAGGACTGCAAGTTCGCGTCGGTAGTTGGCAAAGTCGCTCATCCTATGATCTTTCGGGGAAACATTGGGAGACGACTGCAAGGACGGGGAGAGGGCGCTTCGTGGGCCAGCAGACGTCGGCGAGACTTGGGCATCGGGATCGTCCTCGGTCTCGGGCACGGTCTCAGTGAGAAGCCTGGGAGCGCGGTGCGAGTACCCGTCAGTAGATGAGCATGTTCGCCGCAGAGGAATCTGGATGAGGTGGGGGAATTGGGGGGGAAGGGGGGGTCGATTTGACGACCTAGGGAGAAAGAAAGGTCGAGAGAGAGAAATATATGAATATGGATGCGGATGTGGATATCTGGAACTCTCTCACTTGATTCTGCCGTCTGCCCTCATTGTCAGAGGGCGGCCTCGTCGCGGCGGGCCACAGAAGAGCAGCGAGCCTGCAGTGGTAGCAGCAGGTCCTTTGATGGTCTCGGTACTTTTCCAGCTGCCTGTGCTAGACCTTGTCGCAGAGCTGTCGCGAGGCGCTGCATCTTTCCTGGTCATCATGGACTGGGCCGGGACGCGCCGCTATGGATCAGCCATGGGGTGGGGGATTGGGGAACGGGGAACGGGGTGGAATAGATGGAATGGGATCGGTAGTTGTATATAAATATGTATGCGATACGATGCGAGGGCGAGGCGAGGGCGAGAGCGCGACGGGTTGGTGTTGTTGTTGATGTTGTTTGATATTGATACTGATGATGATGTTGTTGTTGTGGAAGATCTGAAGAGCCCCGTCTGAAGGCGATCATGCCTCTTAGCCAAACTGTAACCACCACAACTCGATGAATCGTGAATCGAGGCGACAGGAGAAGAGAGAAAGGGTATTCGGGCCGATGACCATTTGTCGGCATCACCGGTTAGGGTTGTAGTACAACTAGATTGGTGGTGCATATGTATGAATACATATACTACTCTATAATACATATACAATGCCCATTTGCTACATAAGTACACATACGCAATATAGGTAATCCAAATGAATTCCAAATAAAATGCTAGCTCACCTACCTACCTAGATAGCTATAGGTCGGTAGGTACGTAGAGCTCCTTCACGGTTCAAAATTGAGGCTGAGGTGGTAGTCCATAGCAACTTCGTAGAAGGCAAATACACAGGATCCTTTCTCCTAGCCTACGGATATAGGTACCTGTTCGACTTTTGGCCTCTTCTCGCGCCACTCGACACTCGACACTCGACACTCGACGCTGTACAATGCAGTTCATGCCATTTCCCTGCCGCCGCCGCTGCCGATGCCGCTGCCGCGCATCCTGAAACGAAACATCCTTCGGGCATGCACTGCACAGAGCCTCCTCTCCCAATCGCCACCCTTCCTGTCCATCACGTGGTTAACGGTCACATGGCCATTATAATGATTTGATAGCCAGGTATTCGATAGCCAAATTTGGCAAGTCTCGTCTCTTCTGGTGGAAATCTTTCATTTCGATTCATTCTCACATTTCATTTGTACCGTCGTCCTACCAAGAGTGTAGAGTACCAACACATCACATGTTCGTTAGGCTCTGTTCGCCCATCTAGGCTCGGACCAAGTTTTCAAACGCAACCGCGTTAATCGCCTAACAATATCAATCACATCAATATCAACATCAATATCAACATCACAACGAACAAAATGATAGATGAAGCTGGGCATCCGAGTATCCTCAATTCAGTCGCGTACTGTTGGACCGAGGCAAAGCAGGCTGTCCTTCAATGCCGTGGGTCCAACCACCTTGACTCTTTCCAATCAATCACCAAGCGCAGCACCGCATCAAGGGGCCGGCTCGCCCGCTTGCCTCTTGAAATCCTCAATAAAATCCTGTTCGAGCTCGATGTTGAAAGCCTTGGCTCCATAAGACTTCTCAATACTTGGTTTAAAGACGTTGTTGACTCGCTCCCGGCCTACAGAGCACTCGCCATATATGCCACGCATGCCCTTCGGGCTCTCACGGTTACCAACATGCTCTCCCAACACAGTGTTGGACACTTGTACGATACTCTGACCAAGAGCCGGTGCACTACATGTTCGATGAGCTTGGGACCTTTTTTGTTTATCCCAACTGGTCGCCGGTACTGCTATTGTTGCATCAAAACTCATCCCCACATGCAGATGCTGACATACACGTCAGCCAAAAAACTCTTCAGGCTGAGCAAAAAAGCCCTGAAGCAAATTGCAATCATTGCCACTGTTCCGGGAACTTATGGATTGTCCCGAAAACCTCACAAGAGACGGACTCGAATTGTGAGCGTAGACGCGGCTACCCAGCTCGCTATTATGATTTACAGTAGGGATGTAGCGGAGAGTATCATAATGGATTGGTACTGTACCCGGCATCCCGACCCGAACAATACTCTCCGCTTCATGGCTTGTACTCCATTCCCGTACCTAGATGCACAACAGCATCGTAGCCAAAAGCTTGTGTACTGCCATGGATGCGAGTACGATTGGTACACAAGTAGTGAGGACTACTCTCCGGGCTATTCGCCTATGGATTTGTTTATCAAGCAAGGCTCTTCCTTCACAGAGGACAAGTTTCTTGCTCATTATGAAGAATGCGGGTCCGCGAAGATGCTCTACAAGGAGTATATTTTGAAAGGCAGGAGGCTAGAGGAGTCCGTCACAGGCAGAATTTTCCGGACATAATTGCGACCCTTCAGGATAGAACCTTTACTCGAAATCTCTCACAACATCAAGGCCTCCATTTCACCCCTTTCACCCTCAATCACTGTTATTGAAAAGCGTAGCCTGGCACGAAGTCAAGCAAGATGAGGAGACATCCTTCACCGACATAGAATGGGAGAAAAGGATAGGACGGTTAGACTCCACAGAGCCAAGCGATAGCTGGCGAGATGGTTCTGTTGTCAAACATGCCTTTTGGCATTTCGGGGTGAGAAGGAAAGACGGAGGACCCAGGTGACGCATGAAAAGGCAAGGAGTAAAGGATCAAGCAGTCCTTCAAATGTCAGAGACAAGCCACCATCTCACGACATAGCTGTTTAATCTCGAGCTCCTATTGACCTCTGCTGATTACCAATTACCGGTTTGCACGCCACTCTCCGTCCTGAGCAGCGGGATAGGTATCGCGGTTCTTCTTGTGACATTTCCAATATAGGAGTTTAGGAAGGCGGGCATAATTACGTGCATCTCCTAGTCTAGTCTCAGGCTCTGGGGATCTCAGAGCCCAACAGGGCTCACAGGCTCATTCATGTATGGCAGGCAGCTTGGGAGTCTGCCCGTCCAACCCCAACTACCCTTAGTCTATGGTCATATACCACAAGCAAGACGATTATTATTACATGGCAATATATATTTATATCTCTACACCCCAGAAAAAAAATTTGAGCTCTCCCAAGCCATCTACAAGCATCACAACGTGATAATCTATACACCGACAATGACCATACACCGTATCAGGAGGTGGACATACGTGAAATATACTGGCCGTACGTGTGAGTGGCTGCAGAAAACGCGGGATAGGGCTGGCTAGATGCTTTCCTATTTCTCGTTTGCATATCCCCTTCCCCCCCCGGAATTTTCTTGCCAAGTGCGGACCCTTCACGGGAGTCTGATTCTCCTTCCACAGCCGCCTTTTGACGTCCTCTCCTCTGCCACATCAACCCGTTCTCAGATCTTCGACCGACCCAGTAACTTTTTTCCACGTACATCTAGATGATCAAAGAGAAAAAAAAAAGGGGGGGGGGAAGGAAGAAAAAAAAAGATACCTCCTCCGTTCTTACATCTCTAGGCACCCGGGACAGAACGGCATACGAGGGAAAAGAGACGGTGTGGAGAGCGAAAACTCAATACAATACTGAGCGACCAAGGTCATTCGCGAACGATACCTGATATCCGTTTCCGCTCAGATAGAGAGAGGTAATCGTTTAAAATTCCCCCATCGTGGACCATCAGACTGATAGAATTGCTATTTTCCATTTCTATCGCTAATCAGAAGAAGGGTAGAAGGAGGGGTATGTAATAACTTCACAGGTCTGCAACTTCAACTTCGGCCTCGACCTTCCACTTTAAGGGGTTGCCTTTCCCCGTATGGGAGAACATGTCTTCCAAATCACCCACAGCCAGGCCACGCTGGGCCTCGCGAGATACCCGAATCTGTAGCCTGACACCGAACTTGTCGCCCTTCTTTCCCAAGCTGCTGCTCGTCGAAGCTTTGAAATTTACGAGCTCGTCTAGTGGCTTGGTAGGAAACGCTGGAGATAAGCTGGCCAGGAAGCTAGCGAGGGTTCCGATGTATTCGCACCACCACGCCGTAACATCGCCGACCAGGGCTCGAAGATTTTCGTGGATCCCAAGATCAACGCGGCCGAGATCGTTGCCCCATCGCGCGCACATGACCAAGGCGAGAGTGGCTCGAAGCGTGTGTGTCAACCCGGGCAGCCCAGCCAGATTTCCGGTGATGGGGTTGTGCAGAGCTCTGGCGGAGTTGGCCCCGTCAGGGTCGCCCATTGATTGCCATGTATTACTGGCGATGTAGTGCAGAAGCTCCAAGAGTATCTCGGGAGAATCCTTCGGCGTGCCCTCCCCCAGTTTCTGCACGACAGATTCGAGAATCGCTGGGTCTTGATCGGGAGTTGCGCCCGGTAACAAAGCAAGAGGGTTTGACTCTCGGACTGCGGGTGGAAGCTTCATATATAAGACCCCCTCCCGGTTTCCTCCGCTGCAGAAGATGACCCGTCCGATTTTGGGAATGGCTTCGACAAGGGATTGCACGACGTGAACGATGGCGGGAAACTGTTCCCTTCGGCGTTTCGACATTCCATGAATTTTGCCTTCTTCGGAATTATTCGCATGCAACATCTCTCTCCATTTGATGAATCGATGGCCTGGGACGATGTACCCTCCTATGGAAGGTATAGGATACGGCTGGATGGGATCGGTATGCATGAGCTAAATAATCACGGGGAAGGTCAGCAGTTGCCTATCTAGGAAGCTTTCGGGAGAGATCTGGGAGAAGGACAAGACATTCTTCCCCGTTACCTACCATGCTTCCATAACCACGAAATCCGCCTCCGCAAAAGTAGATTGTGATACCTTCCGAGCTTTCTGACTGTTCCTTGATGCGTGGGAATTTCGTGACCAGAATTTCGAAGGTCTCTTTCATGCGTGCCCGCAATTCAGTCTTCGCACTCTCAGCCGTGCTCTGTGAGCTCAGCGCCATGGTAAGCTTCGCCGCCCCGAATGGCAAACTCGTTGCTGCTGCTGCCGCTAGCAAATCATATCCGCTTTCATCATCAGAGCAAACGTAGGTCATTTGGACACTGCCACCCCCTAGATAAATTTAGCTTCTATCTTGCGAGCCCCGAGGATGCGTAGGGGCTCTGAAAAGCTGCTTACCCAGATCCATAAATAGGCCATCCACATTGGTATATCCACTCCTAGCCCCCATAGCACCAAATAAGCTCTCCATCTCGGGACTCAGTAAATCAACTGTTAAACCACTGGTTTTCTTGATCGCTGCCAGCATCTCGTCCCTGTTCTCCGCCGTCCTCATCGCCTCCGTTGCAAAGACATTGATATTCTTCTTTGGCACCTGGTAAGACTCGCAGATACTCGCAAATCTAGCCATGGTATTTGCTACTCGCTCCATGACAGTGGGAGAGAAGCGGGAGGGCGTGGATTCGTGGAGCGCATCATACAGCGATATGTCAGCCCGCTCGCGATATATGCAGTGCAGGAGGCGGGGGGTCGATAAATCAGAGATTGAGAATCGTATGCCATTACTAACATCATCAGAACTCCTGGTAACATTTAATTTGGGAGAAAAATACGTGCCTGCCCATGTCCACGAGTCCGTAAAGCTGGCTGGAATCATTGTCTATTGTGTACTGGGACATCTCCGTAGCGAAGTTGTCGATGGTTATTGTCGTCCCCATGTCTGAGTTTTCCGAGGTCATCTTGGACGATGAGATCGTGGTGTTGAAGCTGCGAAGAGGTTTGCGTCGTTGAAGAGGGGTTGTAGTACGACATTTTTAGGGTATTTCGTTCTCTGTCCCGCGCTCCTGCATATTCTAGGTTTTTGTGACGTCATATGCGGTTTTTTCCGGGGACATCGTTAGAGTTATGATGGTCTTTCACGATTAAATACATGAATTTTCGATTCACGAGAAGTACTGAAGATTCAAATTAGCAGGAGCCGCGATGCGGATTTCCGAGCTATGTGGGGGTGTAAGACCTTCGCTTAAGCGATGACGACGAAAACAACAGCCTCATCATAACTCGCTAAATAGGGCCAAGATGTCTCCAAATGCAAGAAAGAAAAAAAAGTGAAAAAACCCAAAGGGGTGAAGAGAGAGGAAGAATAGCGTTATGATGTTGCGAAACCATCGGTAAAGGCTGGACTCCGAACAATGAACCGTACCAAACATTGGAATTTTTTTATTGGCAGCATGCTCTATGAGAGGTGAAAAAAACGAAGCGGAAGCCCTGGATAGCAAGAGTCGATTATATATGAGCATAGGAGTGACTATTTGCAAGCGACACTGGCATAATACGTCGGCACCCAGAGAATGTCTTCCACCTTCTTATCAACAACACGACCGCCTTTAAAGACTGGATCATATTATTCTGGCCTCGTCCCAGTCTTCTCTGTGTGCCTGTGAGAAGATCCCGAGCGGAGTTTTTAGAATCATTTTTCTCAGACAGGCTCTGGCGCAAATAGACGGGTGATTGTCAACTTTTGTGACGACGGTCGAAGCCAGAGCTTGATAACCTCTTTCTCCATTGATCTGGCTCACAATACGAAGAAATGCATTCGATAACCTTTCCGTGCTACGGGGATACATTATCTAATCTTGCAACCCTAAACAGTTTCCAAAGCCCAGGCACATGACTCCCCCGACCAGCTGCATCACACCATCACTTCCCTCAAAGAACTTTCCTGTGCCGCGAAGATCTCAATGTCTTCTTTTGATTTGAAGCCTCGGGTCTGGCAGATGCGGGAATAGTAGAGCTACGTACATCGGGTTAGCGAAAATCTGTCTGCCTTTCTGTATATATCCAATAAGAGAGAAGCTTACCTTGGCCCCGCTTCCTCTTTGGTGCCAGTTGAACTCTCACCATCACCCCCCTTAGCTTCTGCATCCAAATGATCCGACTTCATACCAGCTTCCGGCTCGCTCTCCTTCAACTCTCCCACTTTTCTCACCGCTTCCTCTTTCGCAAGCTTTGGAGGCTCTTGTAAATCACTGCTCGTTTGCAGGGGCATAAGATGCTCCAGGGATTTCCGTCGCTGCGCTCTGCACGCGAAGCACCGGTCCTCTTGATAGATGATGTGGCTGCACACAGGCGGCCGAGTTAGGTGGTTAGACATTATTACGATTCTCCGATTTCCTGACGAGTGTAAGATGGATCTTGAGGAGGGGTGCGACGATGGTGTAGATATTGGGATATGAACTGGAGATTTGAGATCCTGCTTAAAAAAGGGAAATCGATGCGCGTATATATCATATTCTACTTCCTAGACGATTCACAAAGAGCGCCCGAAATCTTGGTCTTCTGCGATATGAATCACTGGCCTGGTGGGAATGATAGGAAGATCTATGACTCAAGTATGTTCACTGTTCCTCTTTCCTATTTTATCAGAACGGGAGAATTGTGACTCGAGGATGTGAATTATTGAGATATCCTTCTCGCATGGTGTTCGTCGGTGATGTGGCTTTAGTCTTCTCCGGCAATACTTGTTATTACGAATCGGCGTGTCTGGTACAGATAGAGACATTACTACTTCAACCCAGTCCGACAATCACGAGAACACCGACGACGCTTACGAGAATGCCGAAATACCATCTGTAACTATATTCTTCACGTTACAACTCTGACATCTCGATGTCCGCATTCGATAATTGATCTCCAGCTTCTCATCCACCCGCCTATACTTTCTGCCCTCACGGAAGTTACTATTAATAATTGCCAAGAAAACTTCGAATGCTATATATGAAGCTCTATCTCGACGTCCAACTTGTCCGCACTACCTTTTACCCAAATCCTTCTTTCAACTTTTTTACTTCCTCGATATGGATCTGTCGCTTATTAGCCTCTCGGTTCAAAAGGAGATGGGGGTGCAGAGGCGGACCGACAAAAGGGATACAATACCCTGAATACGGGCCCTTTTGGTCCAAGGTGGTTCTCGCGACTCTAGGTACTACGTCGCAGGCGTAATCGTTACACCCTTGAGGGTAAGGTAACCAGGGGGTTTAAAGTGGAAATCTAAACTTTTGAGGCACCCTCAAGGGTGTAACAATTACGCCTGCACCGTGGTACGTAGTACTACGTCGCAGGCGTAAGTATTACTCCTCGAGGGTAGGGTAACCGGGGGCTTTAAAATGGAAACTAAACTTTTGAAGCACCCTCGAGGGGTAATACTTAGGCCTGTACCGTGGTATTTGGCAAAAGGTTCTTCATCAAATTTGGCTTTTGGATCAAACTTCAAAAATCGATCAGAATACATGTGATCGTAAAAACTTTCGCTAACGGATGTTGTAAGAGGTTCTTCTGACACGCCTTCTCTTGATTGCGAAGCGTCAAGCTCGATACCACGGAAAGAAATAGCCGACGGCTTACTTTATCAGTACACGGTTATCGAGAGGCGAAAAAGAAAAGAAGAAGAAAGAAAAGAAAAAAGCTGCAAAAGAGAATCTAACCTTATACGTAGTAAGTCTGATAATGCCAGACTACCGAAATCAATAGCTTGGCTAAAGGTCACCAACTCTCAATCGATATATAAAATAATCTCTGTTCCTGACTGTACGGCTTGCCCGAGATTATAAGAAGTAGCGAGATCATTTATACAATCGAGATTGTACAGTCGATTTTGAATCTGACCCAAATGTCGAGTACCCATTCGGCTGTTACGGGCCCTATCCGTGCATGCTGGCGTGGCGTCGTTGGCACGAGCCAAAGATTCTCACCCTTGGATCCTATCCTGCGCTCAGGAAGGGAGATGATAGCAGTTGTACTTGTAATAGTTCTTATAGTTCAGTCTACAACGAGTGATAACCTTGGATCTTGGCCGTCTCTCGGTCCTGTCTTTTGTCAGATCACGTGCATCAGCTGACCTACCTGCCGCTACTTAACGCCCCGATACGATTTTCTTGGTTCCCGCGACAAAACGCTGCCACTTTACGAGAGCTCTCATTTTCCGTACGAGCCTTAAAATTGAAGAACTCAAGACCCAGTCTTTAGTTCGGATGTTTTGTATTCGTCCGTTGATTGCAAAACCGGGAGTTTCACCATGGCCGCCATGTACCCTTTCCCTGACCGGGCCCTGAATCCACGATTTGTTGATATTCGATAAGGGTTCCACATCGGTGAGAAGGCTAGGCGGCATGTGATTTTCAACCTGTCCTTATGTCCGGAGCCGGTGTGAGATTGATGTGCGGAATAGACAGGAGTAGAGACTTGATGGGCTTCGCGGTAGGATACGATTTTCAGATGTAGCGCACCTGCTGGGTTTCGTTACTTCATGATATAGTTTGTCGAATGAAGCACGACTGGGGCCTGGCAAAACAGGCTGGCGAGTTTAACAGATACGGGCGAAGATGAAGCACGCGTACGTGCGTATTGTAGTATATCTACCTTATCTACCTACAACTTTCAACGGCGGCACTAATATAGCTTTGCTATCTTCAACTACCTGTCTCTCGCTCCGTGCTAGCGCTGCCACGCTGATCATACTACCTATTTATTCGGAGAAGTTACTAGTAAGTAGGACAAAAATGTTTGATCGACTTCCGTGATCATAAGTAGTAAATAGGCTTTCACCATCACCTCTGCGTACGCTCTTACTGTATCGCTGACTCTTGGCCCGCCTTTGACATTGAATCCATTAGTAAGGGTACCTAGGTACTGACAAAGAGTACTATCCCTCCCCATGAATAATTGTCGGACCCAGTTTAGCTCTATAAATCGTAGAGCGGTGATTTCTGAATGGCTTAAAGCCCTGCCAACTCTATTGCACAGACTAAACACTACGGTAGCTCAAAGATACTTTTCAAGGCTGAATGAATCTTTACAGAGTATAAATTGATCAGTTTAAGACCTGGTAAGTCCCTTGCAAAATTATACTTTCGACGTGTATTCATGGGGCGGGGGAGAGTACGTACTGTATGGAACTACGGAGTCGCGGTGTAGAATACGGGAGTGGTGTACCGTCGAGTCCACTACCGTCAACGAATGCCTTCAACGCCTTAACTTTCAGTTTAGCCCTACCAAGAGCTCTCCTCCTCTTGGAAATTCCTTAGAAAGTGGGTAGAAAGTGGGTGATACTTCGTACACAAGGACCGCGTGCGTCGGCATACAAATACACTTTTTGAATTTGGCTTTGGCTTTTCTTGCGATCTTATCTTGAAATAACCGTGCGCCAGTAAGTAAGGCAAAGCCTGTCGGCCACTCTCCGTCTCAGGTTCGTTGTACCAAGTACTACTAGGTACTGGGGCACGGTTAGCCGAAAATTTCCTCGATCCTCGGTCGTGAATGACGATGGATCGCGTTTCACGACGCCCTGCCGGTACAGTTAGTTGATACTACTAGGTTGAATATTTGTCGTCTGGTATCGTAGGGCTATACGAAGTATTATGCTGTAAACGCTATTCTTCCTTGGACTGTGGCAGAGATCGATAATATAGTAGTACATGCTATCCTTGTTGAAAAGCGAAAGGAAAAGCAAGCGAAGGGTTGATAAGTATACGATCCGACATCAACTCACTGGCTGAGAACAAGGCAACGCAAGTCGTACTATTACTTTTGTCTGGACTATATACCACGGTACAGGCGTAAGTATTACCCCTCGAGGGTGCCTCAAAAGTTTAGTTCCCACTATAAACACCCTGGTTACCCTACCCTCAAGGGATAATACTTACGCCTGGGACGTAGTATACTCCTGTACCAAAATACAACTACCGCATGATGAAGCACCTCGCGGTAACAATCTTTACATGGGGCCGTGGCTTGGGGAAGGTGAGCTGATGCTTGCTAAACCTTGTATTTGAACGACAAGACAATAACGAGTTTAAATGCCACACCTCCGCCGCCCTTCACGTCAGATCTCTTCACTGAAGCTCACATCGATATCACCTCACATCACATCGGATAGCCAGTCAGTCAGTCATCCACAAGATTCAAGATAGGAAACTCGACCCCACCACTGGCCAGCATGCTTCCAGCGACGTTATATCTCACGTCTCGAGCCTTGCTCTGGTTTGATCTTACATATCGGATCTACCTTTCAGAACGCAACCGCTCCAAGAACCGTCGCAGGGTTGCAAAGAAACTCAACGCCGAGGGCCAAGAAGTTCCGGTTCCCAAGGCCGTCGCCTGCGTCGTGGGATATCGCGAAGAGGCGGAGCTCTTCAAGGCTGCCTTGACAAGCTACCTCACGTCAGGCTGCAACTACCTTGTGGTCGGCATCGATGGCGATACTAAAGATGACAAGGAGATGGTCCAGGTCTTCGAGAAGGTAAGCGTGAGATTCGTTTTCGTGATCGCAGCACGCTTATGGTGAGTTTCCAGGTCGTAGGTGCAAATCGAAAGACGGTTGTCATCAACCTCAATGCGTGTGTTGGCCAAGAGTTCATGGAAGTACGAGAGTTCGACATCAAGAACACGTCCCCGGAAGCCCGAGCGCCAAAACCAAAACAGGACGAAGAAGAGTTCAAAAGAGCGTACGAATACATGCGTACCGCGTTGATCAACTCCGGATTCGTGGACACCATCAGAGGCGGCGACGAGAACTTCGCCGTCTGCTTCACGCAACCCCATCGTGATCTCAAGGAGGTCAGGCTGGCTGCTTGGGTCATGTCGATTGTTGTCGCAGACTTGAGAGATGTCGGGTATCTCTGGTCCAGTGACTCGGACACGGTCATTCTTCCCGATACCATTTCCAGTCTCACCAAGATCGTGGCAGCGGAGCCACGGGCTGCCGGCGGATCAGCCCTCGTTCAACTCAACAACGCGCACATTTCATTCGTATCGCGAATGGCGCAGACTTCGTTCAGCTGCGATGCCATTATGAACCGCTCGGCCAATGCAGCTATCGGGAGATCGGAGTGTCTGAACGGGCCCGGATCGCTGTTTAGGATTGCGGCGCTGCGCACGGTGGCTGCTGGGTGGTACCGCTGCCAGTATCCCGGCTCCCAATTTCGCAGTGTACGTTCTGTTTCGTGCCTTATTCAACGAAATCCAGGGGCTAATTATAGAGAATAGGTTCTAAACGAGGACATGCAAGTCACGATGATGTTTGGGAAAGCGGGCTGGAAGCGCTTGTACTCCGAGGGCTCGATCATCGAGACAGCAGGACCCACGAATCTCAAGGGCTGGGTTGGTCAAAGAGTAAGCCCATCTCTCCGAAATGCGATGGGAAAGCCTCTCTAATGTCTCATTCAGATTCGCTGGAGTCGGGGCATCCATCTCCATCGGGTGCACGACTATCAATACGTCTTATCCCAGGGACTCCTCTACACAGCCTACATGGTCCGGAGTGCCCTCTACGACCCCTTGTTGCTGATCTGGACATCCTACTTTGCCATCACAGGCCATCAGCTAGTCAAGATCTCGGTGCTAGATGTGCTCGCTCTCGAGGTCATCCCCCCGTTCTACAACTACTTCAAGTCCCGCAAGCCTCGAGCCGGCCTCGCGGCTATAGCACCCTACCTCTCCTACAGAGCCATCGCCCCCGCGTACCGGATGTACACCTTCCTAACGCCAGGCAAGGACTCCTGGGCTCTGCCTTCTGGCGCGAAGACGCCAGGCTTCCTGACCATGCTCTCTTTCGATCCAGAGATGGGCTTCGTCTACTTCTGGTTCACTCTGATGGCCATCGCCATCGCAAGAGGTCTTCTCAACCTCGTCTGAGTCTCGCGGGGGCTGTATCAGACGCTGCAAGACAGGCACTGCACTGCACTGTAGCAAGGGATATCGAGCCGGCTTCGATGGACTCCTTCTCCCACCAGCGAGCATTCATGCGTCTTAGCGCAAACGATATCCTTCCATCATTTTTCCTTTTTTTTTTCTTTTCTCCAATTTAGATACCACTGCAATATAGAAAGTTTTCCACGCTTCTCCGTCTCAAATCCCTCAAAGCGATATTCACATCACCTAACTCCCTAGCCAGAATACTAAACGCATACACACTGACAGGAAAAGCAAGTGTGTATGCAGTGTAAGCGCCTGTCTGATATCAACGAGTCTGGGAACCTGGAAGAGCGGCCTTTCCAGAGCATGCGTCGTATTTCCAGACGCAGTCGTGGGAAGCAGGTGAACGATCCGCCGCCCTCGCTGAGAGGCGCAGAAGGTGCCTCGAGGGCACCCGCAGGATAACGCAAGGAATATTTGGACATGATATCTCCGGGACGACGCGTTTGGGTCGAGGAAGCTGTTTGGTAGGAGGCATTTACTGTATCGCTGGCAGAAAATCGAGAGTCAAGAGAATCGGGTAGCATCGACATTCTTTCCTTGCGTTGGCTATCGAATCTGTTCTATCCACAACTCCACCAGTTGATGTTGTCGGAAACGTAACTGAAGAGGTTTTCATGGGCGAGGGTCGCCGACGCCACCTACTGACAAAGGTGACTTGAACCAGCCCATTGCCACGTGTATTCCAGGACACTCATGATTGATGTTGTAAAATTATGCGCAACACGCAACAAGCATATAGTTTTGCAAAGCGAGATGCTCACTACATGAAGGACGCCTTGCTCAAACTGGTTTTGGAACCCCAAAAAGAGAAGCCAGAACTCGCAGACTTACGAAAATTCATTCTCTTCCGAAGCTTCCTCTTCCAACAAGATGTCATCGAGGCTCCAGCCAGCAGCTTCCAAAGCATCTCTTGCCTTCACCTCTTCGCTGTTTTTCAAAGCCAACTTGTAAAGTCGTTCAGCTTGGTCAAGATCCCTTTTCAGCCTCGGAGAAACTATAGCCTTGGGTACGATGGTGGGTCTGCATGCATTAGGAATGCCTTGATCTTCAATAGCCCACGCTTTCTTAGTTGATTCAATGCTAGGTGTCACTCGCTCTGCTGCACTAAGAAGTGGAAGCTGCAATTGAGGAACCTGACCACTCAACAATTGATCCCGACAATGATGGTAGTGTCTGATGGTCTCGCAAACGTTGAGTGGATGGATCAGGCATTCCTTTCCCGCCAACTCAGGAACGGCAACCCAGTCGCTGTGATTCACTACCAAGGAGATCTCTTTTGCACCTCGGAAAATAATCGCCAGCTGCGGAAGCAAATAGGCCAAATCATCTTCCATGTACGAGCTCGGGAGTTCAACTGCCAGTCTTCGAATGTTGCACAGCTTGCTATCGTTCTCGATCTGAAAAGGGCCAGAGAGCCCTTTCAGTATTAACTGCAGGCCACGATACAGCGGTAAACAGTATGTGAAACTGCTCGGGCGTAGGTACAGAATATCTGATTCCGTATCAAAGTATGTACCCGCAACAGAACCAGGGTATGCAAAAGTCTTAGAATAGCGGCGGGTCACCACTCCGTACGACTCGCGGCAAACGAATGTTATGTCCGGTGGTGGACAGTTGGAGTCAATTCCCACCATGTGGGTCTCCCAGAAGACTTTTTGATCCAAGTCGGAAGCACCTCGTGCGATACAGATAGCTTCGCGGAAAGCTTGATCTTCCTCGAACTGCGTTTCCTCGATTTCGTCATCCTCGTCGAATATGTCCGACTTGCTTAGGCCTGGCCATTTCCGTCCTGTCTCTTCTTCGTAATCCAAGAAGGTCTTCATTATCGGTCTCTGCTTTATCGTCACCATGCGCGGGCCTGGCAAAGCCGCCTCCCAAATCAGAAGTCTGAGTTCGAGGGGGAGCTTCGGGAAGGAGGTGAATCGTTTTCGTAGTGTGACGCCTGGCATGGCTTCTGTTCTCCTCGGCTTCTTCGTTTTACTTGAAATCGCGGAGGCTTTTCCGACTTAGGATTGCATCCAAGCTGGTATTGAGGAGCTAATATCGACCTGCAGAGACTAGTCAGTCCGAAATAGCCAAGGCAAATAACATACTTCTTACGCGTTTTTTTGCAGAGGCGCAGTTTCAAGACGTCTTCAGTCGATGATGAACCGTCTTATTGAGGCGCTGAGGTTTGAAGTCAACGGGCGCGGGCGTAAAACAACTTGTTGCGTTGTTGTGACGTCGTGATGTTGATAATGTTGATGTTGGGGCGGGGATGTCATTGCTTCAGCGGCTCTTGACGCCAGATTGATGCGACTTCCGCCATGGTCACGTGCAGATGACTACTGATGGAGCAATTGGATAGCACAAGCCGATTGATATATTGAACCTTATCTGAACTGGGGCTTCTGAACATGCGGCTTTGAATGCATATCCACTTCAGCCCGGAACGAATAAAATACTTAGTTGTAGGTGGTCCCGAAAGCAGCCAAGAGTTAACCACAAGAGATCCAACGCGTAGTATTCCTAGACCCGAGCTATATAGCAGCCAGAACATTACAAGATTGATGGTCTCTCAGCAATACTCAAAATTTTGGTTTCTCCCAATTGTGTAGCCTTTTGAGTCTCGCTCCTAAACAACCTCATCGCTATTGAACCAAGAGAGATCGTACTGCCCTGTCATCGCCATCATAATCACGTTGAAGTGCGAGCCCATCTCGAGAGTCCAGGGACGAGGACCCTTGAAAGAAATGATATGATGGACGAGGCCTTTTCGTGTGCTCTTGCTTCGGAGACGGCTTTTTATATTCAGATGGGATGTTTCACGGGCTGGGGAACGACTAACGCTTCAGTGTGCTCGGCAGCATATTCGGCACGCCGGTACAGCGTCTCTCTCATGGGGTTTGGGCTTCAGCAATTCCAGCAATGAGAAAATACCAGGGAGAACGCAGACAGCGCGCATCACATCATTCATATATGTTGTGTTGACAATGACACCGGCCCAGTGGTAGCGATGTTTCTGGGGTGGTTAGCCGAGTCTCTTGTTTACTTTGGCCAAGTGACATACCTGGTTGTCGCGCAAGTCTTGCATCGAAGGAGTCGCCAAAGGACATCTCACCTGGATATAGCTTGGTCATCATGACGCCATGTTCAGGTGTTCAGGACTTTCCGCACCCATGATTTCGAATGTGACGTCGTTGGATTGCTGCACAATATTGAACCCTCTGTTCCTGTTTTGACTCTGCAAAGCCCCAACAGTCTTCACGAAATCATCCGTCCTCCTCACAAGCACATCCTCGTTCACCAAAAGATTGGAAGAGCTGAATGCAAAACTCAATATTCTTCTCATCCTTGAGTGTTCTTCTCTGTTGGTCTCGTTGATGATGTTCATGGAGTGATCAACTTCAGGGGTGAAGAAGAAAGAGTCCTTGAGCATCGATAGAACGTTGCTTGTCCCGAAGCCGTATATAAATTTCTGTGCGGAATGTGATCAGAAACTGAGATGATTCGATGCAATGCGTACAACCGGCCCTATGATCTATGAGAACCCATGTGTGTCCGTCTGTATTGCAGGTGTTGAGTTCGCGCAAGAGCCTATCCCAGGGAGTAGATTATAGAAAGTCAGTCAATTTGATCAAACTGTCGTAGGGCTATACCGCTCGGAGTTATTCCCCTTCCTAAGAAGGCTCTTTCTCCTCGACTGGATGTAGCAATTCGATACGACGAGTTTAAAGCTTTCCCGGTCGCGTTCACCATCACAGCGGCACGCTGGCACCAGCACCCTGCAGATTCCACAGCATCAATCACATCCCAGGTCACGAATCATGGACATCTACATGTCATTTCCACGCAGCACGATACGTTCTATGGCAGCACAAAAACAACTTTGTTGCAAGTCGCAAAGAATCCGCATCGCGGCCGCACCTTGCCACCGTGCAATATTTACAGCTCGAAGCTTGCCACCGACAGACCTTAAACGTAAGCAAGGCATACTCCGGATAAAGGGGCCGTCGCTGTTGCCATCGGAGTACGAAGGGAACTGAGGCGATCAATTGTCATTGGAAGCCAGCTGATGAAGCGAGGTTTGCCCCGCTTTTCTACCTCGCCCCCTTTTGGGTCCTCCATGACAGGAGCTTTGTAACATTTGGATTCCGGCAGAAATTTTGTTTAAAGTACGAATCGACTCCATTGGATCTGCAAGACCGGACAACACCCTACAAGCATCGTTTGAAGTTGAGATAGAGGACTGGTCTAGATCACTTCTGCCGGAACGCTGTGATATTGAACCGAAGCAATTGCATCTACAGACTTGTCAAGAAAATCAGTCTGCTGACCCTTCGCAATCTTATACAAAGTAGCTTGCTTACAACTTGGGGACGACTCGGGCAACAATAACTGCTCCTCCAGGTTCGGAAATCGAAAAATGACTGTCAAGCGAGTTTGTTGTTGACTCTGTCTAGCCAAATTGCCAGGACGATCAAAATTGAGCTTTTACATCAGCAATCAATCTAGTGACTTGGCATAAATTACGATCTAGCACAATCACGAATGTGGCATAGGCAGTATTGCGTTAGCTAGAAATACTAATAAACAAAATTGATTATTAAACAAATATATTCGACAAATATGAAAATATGTAGTTGGTCGAGATCAATAACAATGTGACGAACGTTACCAAGATTGCTTTTGACTATAGTCGAGGAGATTTCGGGGTAGGCATAGGTAGGGTCAAGCTTCTTGCTACTTACGGATACAATATGCACGGCAAAAGGCTTAGCTGTTTGTTAGCTAAGCGAGATATCGACGTTTGGTGCATCGCTTGTGTCAAATATCATACGTATGCACATGCTATAATTGCATTTAGAAACGAAATATATAAACTTCGATCTCCTCCATCATGATCCATCTCGTTTAAAACTTCCGAAATCCCTTATCTCCATTAATCATATCATCACTCATCTTCTGCACCTCCTCGCTATTCTTCACCCAAGCACTCCTCGCATCCTCCCACCTGCCCTCCCCAAACCTGCCAACGCACCACTCGACAACAGCTCCAATCTCCCTCCGACTCTCCCCCACCAGCCGCCCCATCTCAGCCTCATCCCTCCCCCCCTTCCCCTCCTTGAACGCCTGCACGGCATTCAAGAACCTCTGTCCAGCATCCAACTCCCCCTCCCGCCTTCCCCCAGCCCCAAAATCACCAGCCTCACCACCACCACTGCCCCCCTCACCCAAATCCTTGAAAGTCTTCCCCCCGCCCTCCCACACCTTCCCATACAGCGACCCTGCACCACCTCCACCTCCATCAGCACCCCCACAGCCATCCTCCTCCCCCCCCTCCCCCGCCGCAACATCCGAGTACCACATCCTCGCATTATCATAGTCCCCCTCAATCCGGTGCAGGATCCCATGGAGGAACATGCCCTCGAACGCGGGCTTCGCCTGCATATGTCGCACGAGGAAGTGCGCCGCCGGCAGGTCGGCGTTCAGCAGGTGCAGCGCGGCCTCCAGGGTCGGGTGGACCTGCAGGCTTGCAATCTGGGAGGTGAGGGCTGTGGAGTGCGGCTTGGAGGGCGGGAGGAGGGGCGCGGCGAAGGTTGCTGTGAGGTGCGAGAGGATGGCGTGGAAGCTTGTGAGGGCTTTGGGCCCTAGGGATGAGGAGGAGGAGGAGGAAGAAGAGGAGGACATTCTGGTGTTCTGGAATGGGCTCTGGAATGGGTTCTTGGACGAGGAGGGGGATGCTGCTACTAGGAGGTACTGGCGGAATCAGTATAGCATCCGGCAAATCTCAAATCGGCAAGTCCTTCACTTTTTTTGTCTTTCAGAAGATAATAACTATAATAGAAATAACAATAGTAATAACAATAATAACAAAAACCCAATCACCCAGTCAATCCGGTCCTAACCTACTCTTTGGAGGTAAGGAAGAAAATACCATCAATCTTCACACCAACAACTGTACCGAGTAGTTAGTTGGCTACCTAGTCATCGAGGACGTCATGACTCCACCATCATCGACAGCAAGGCCCCCCCCAAAAAGCCCCCCTTCCCCCTTGATCAACAGCATTCAACTATGTAATTCCAAGAGCGCTAAATAGCTTCAGACAGGCTATGCATCCTAGATACCAAAAAAAAAAAAAAAAAAAAAAAAAAAAATTACGAGATTTACCAAAAAAATTCATCCGTTCTGCCGAATCAGATGATACCCCTCGTCCCCCCTTTCTCGGCTAAAGCCCTTTTCCTTTCCCTCGCGTAAGCAGAGCAAAGCAAAACAAAGCAAAGAGATCGATCGATCAACGTCAACGTCAACGTCACTTCCCCCCTCCTCCCCTCCCCCCTCCCCCACCCTTTCATGTCGAGGAAAGAAAGCAACAGGAAGAAAGACATCATGAAAACAATTTCCAAGAAAGGAAACATGTTGTATTCATATTGTAATATATAATTGGTCTGCAAAGCAAAGCAAGAGAAAGAGAAAAGGTTGTCGACACAAGCTAGCTACTAGAATCAGATAGATACTATACTATACATCCCTTCCCCATCCATTCATAACCACCGCTACCTTCCTCACTCACACTTTGCTGCCGTTGCCAGTGCCAGTGCCAGTCCACTCATCCATCGCTTTCCTCGAATTTCATCTGATCCTATCCGCCTTTTCGAATCTAGCTTTGCCATCAACGACATCGGAGACACCTCCTACACCTCCAGCAAAGCTTTCCGAGCCAGCTTCGTACAAGAAGACAGTCTAGAGCCCTTCGCTCATCCCCCCGTCCTCGTCCTCCCCTCTCTGCTCGACACCATGAAACGCATCCCCGAACGCCGAATCGTCGACACCCTCACCTCCATCCATATCTAGCTCCAGATTTCCCATGTCCGCACCGTCGCCTCCATAGCTACCCATCGCTCCTTCTGCGCCTTCGAGATCGCCCAGGTCAGCGAAATCATTAGGCGAGGTGTGGAAGTCGTTGACCTGAGGCGTGTTTCCTGATGTACTGGTAGGCATTGGTGAAGGGTTGTGTTCGGAGATACTGGGGTGTTGGAATTGGGGCTGGGTTGAAGGCTGGGCGATAGCAGGCGAGTTGGACGCATTTTGCGGGGAGACGCCGCCGGGAGGGACAATGACCCAGTCGCCACCTGTGGTATCGGAGGGCACCCGTTGCTCCCCAGTGTTGCCCATCGAGATTTCAACCGATTGCTGCTGCTGAGGAGCTGGAGGGGGGTGGGGAGAAGCCATTTGGATATTGCTTGGCGTGTTTGCCGACGAGTGGTGCTGGTAATTCGGCTGCGGCGTTGGGAAGTTACTGCCCGTGCCGGGCGTTGCATTTGACGAAGGACCACTGGGCTGGTATTGATCTAGCAGGCCAGCAGCTGAGTTGCTCGTGTCGACGTTTGCATTGTCCACCAAGACCCCGCTATGTGTGGAGCCGTTGGAGCCGTTATATGACCCATTGTACGAAGCATGGGGGTTCGTGCCCAACATGGAGCCTGATGTAGCTGCCGGAGGCGTGATACGAGGCGCTACTTCCTCGTAGCCACCATCTTGGATTCGAACGAGCTCCTTGACAGCGGCGGCATGGCGACCGACAGAAGCTTCTACCTGAGCAACAATTTCTGAGACTCTTGGTGGGATTTCAGTAGCAGCCCCGCCCTCCTCGGCATCTTCATCGATGCGACCTTCCAAGCGCCAAAACTCAGGTCCGGTGTCGGTTGGGTCCTCCACCGCAATGCGAAGCTGCTTCTCAGCATGTGTGATGAGTGACCCCTTTTTGAATTTAGCGAGTCGCTTAGCATGCTTAGCCTTCATCTTCTCAATCTCAGCATTAGTCTCAGCAATCTTCTCGTTAGCCCTCTTGCGAAACTCTTCCGCCTTGTCAGCATCTAACCGGCCAACATAGATGTTTTTGGGCACGTCTTGCTTTGGAGCATCCTTGTCTTCGGAGTGATAAGGCGTGAAGAACACACCCCTTTCCTGCTTTGCAGGATCATTGTCGACCTGGTTACGAATGTCCCTAGGAAAGTAGGCTTGCAAAGGGTTGTAAGGCGCATCGAAAATTCCCTCTGTTAGAGCACCAAGTTCTCCACGCATTCCAAGGCCGAGGTCCGTAGGGATGATCTGGTGGATAGCATACGGCGAAGAAAGAATCTCCTCCATCCACTCGTGATTCTGCTTGTACCGTGCCATACTGATATCCCGCGGGGTCATTAGATCAAAAAGATCTCCACGAGTGTAGTCCTCCTCATCATCAGCCTCCATAGCAGCCGCGCTGATAGCAGCAGCCTGGTTGATATTGGTCTGTGTTCTCACACGCTTCGCTGGTGGACCAGCGACAGCATGCTGCTGAGCAGGATACGCCATCGTCTGCGGAATCCTAGCTTGTGGTGCGCTAGCGCCATACATAGGCGTACCCCTTGGTGGGCCTCTAGGGAACGAAATCGCTGGCCATTTATTGCGATCATGCAACATGAATTCCTTCTGCACAATCTGCCCGTGCGATTGAAGATACTGCCGGGTGCTCATGATCTGCTGGATGCGCATATCGATGGGGATGACGTTGGCAGGGATTCGGTCGTTGGGATCGCACTGCGTGTAGTGAATGATCCAGAGAGCTGGGTCGGGGGAGGGATTGCCAGGGTTGGTTCGAGAGGGCATGAGGCGGTATCGTCGGCGAGAATGCGTTGCGAAAGGCTCGCCCGGCGCAAAGCCTGTCTTTTGCTGATACATCTCGAGAGTCTGGAATAGTCAGAGGAGCTCTAAGATAATATAGAGAATGTATGCATCTCACGTATCCGCCTGGGACATCAATCGCATAAGGGCTCTCGCCCGGGTTCCAGACGTATCCATCGCTGGGAAACTCAGGCCCGAGAGAAGGAGATTGCCAGATCAACAACACTGTCCCATCAGCAGGGCGGTCGAGGTACGTCCAATAGAAAGGAGCTTGATCGCGGGCGATTTTGGGAGCGCCGAGGAGGTATTCGGCTACTTTGTCGGGGTGTAGTTGCGAGAGGGAGGGAAATCTGTAGGTCGAAACCAGGTGAACATGACCTTGCTGAAATTGAAATCAGCAACGGTGTATACGTGGAGTTACGGCTTTGGCAGGCTTACCAATTCTCTCTGGATGCCCTGGCTCGGGTCCTGCATCTGCATATTCATTGTTACGGCTTCGAAGCGTGGTGCTTTGTTGAGCTTGTTTGCGATTGGGATGGCGCGTCAAGCGCGATCCAAATTCTTAGGATGATGATCACGTGGATAGTGAAAAGATACCGATTACCCGTCGACCAAGCTTGCGCGAGTAGTTGTACATTCAAAGCTTCTCATTATCGGAATTAGTATATAAACATTTCGAATTCATCGATCGTGTACTATGCCTGCTAAGCTCGAGGACTATCAAAGTTCTATCTAATACTTGTTTTGCAAATCAAAGAGATATCGAAAAGAGCTAGACCATCCTTACTCAGGCGTATCCGGCAACACGCCTAATGCATATCTTAAGCATGCTTTTCGACGCTTGAGTAGGGTTGTAGAAAACCGTTTTAGTACCACTAGTAAAGCAAGCGTGATTGCTTAAGCGTATATAATCAAGCCAAACTCTCAACCATGCTTCACAGAATGGTTAGGTAGCGAAAATCTGCGCTGGACCAAACATAGCAGCGAGCAACATTCTTTCCCCCAAGTACCATTGTCATATCGTCAGTTGGGGCATTGACTTTGAAGTAGCTATTACTCTGATCTGATCCGGTTGCTCGATACCGCGACTTGGTATGTATAAGTCCTCCATCTAGACACCTGTGGTACCGGGATAGTTGATCACGGGGGAACCTGCGGGGATTGGCAAAAAGAGTGACCCAGGTCACGCCTCGGGATTTCAACTCAATGTTCCTAGAGTATCATGCCACCTTTGCATAGACATAATTCTTTCATTGAACCAACGCAGCGGTTTTTCTCATTGTCTATTCAATCTAGCTAAATTGGGGGAATGTGCTGTTGAACCGATCATGCTTGGTATGCAGACGAAGAAACGTTTCCACCACGTCCAGTCCAATTGACATGAATATGCTGTCCCTCCTTGTAGGTGGCAGTAGCGCACTCAGGCTTGATCAGGAAGGTGTGAGCACCAAAGTAATCCCGCTGAGCTTGCAGAAGGTTGGCAGGTAGGTTCTCGGTACGGTAACCATCGAACCAGGACAGAGCGGTCGAGAAGGCAGGAGTTGGGATACCGAGGAGCGCAGCCTTAGATACGACGTCTCTCCAGCCGGGCTGTGCCTTGTGAATAGCCTGTATATGGTCAGTATACGGTTATTTGGTGGATACTAGAGACACGAAGCCTACCTTGTTAAAGAAGTCGTTGAAAAGTAGGTTCTCGAGGTCGTTGTCGGCGTTGAAGGCCGCGGTAATATCCTTCAAGAAGACGGAGCGAATGATACATCCTCCGCGCCACATGAGGGCAATGGATGGCTTGTTGAGCTTCCACTTGTACTCGCGCGCAGCCTAATATTTGTTAGGTTGAAAGTAGAAGGCAGCCTGGGGACATGTATCAAGGCATACCTCTTGCATAAGCATGAATCCTTGAGCGTACGAGACAATCTTGGATGCGTACAAAGCTTGCTCGAGATCATCAAGGAACTGCTCCTTGTCACCCTCGAACTTGGCCTGTCTGCTGACAAACTCGATCTTCTTGGAGGCCTTGACACGTTGATCCTTCAAGGAAGAGAGACATCTGGCCAAGACAGCCTCGGTGACCAAGCTCACTGGTTGTCCGAGATCAAGAGCGTTGATCGCAGTCCACTTTCCGGTACCTTTTTGTCCAGCGGAATCTAGAATCTTCTCGAGAAGAGGGGTTCCGTCCTCGTCATTGAAGTACATGATATCACGGGTAATTTCGATCAGGAAAGAGTCGAGAACACCCTTGTTCCACTTGGTGAAGACATCACCGATCTCCTTGTTCTTCATACCCAATCCACGCTTCATGATATCGTAGGCCTAGGAGGTTTAGCATAGTCAACTGGAAGGATTTGGTGGACATACCTCGCAAATGAGTTGCATGTCACCGTACTCGATACCATTGTGCACCATCTTGACGTAGTGACCAGCACCCTCATCTCCAACCCACTCACAGCATGGGTCACCGTGATCACCCTCACTCTTGGCCGCGATGCTTTGGAAAACATCCTTGATGTATGGCCATGCTTCCTCGTTTCCACCAGGCATCAAAGAAGGCCCGTATCTGGCACCCTCCTCTCCACCGGAGACACCGGAGCCGACAAATCGGATACCCTTGCCAGCCAGGTATTTTGTCCGTCGATTGGTATCGGGGAAGTGGGAGTTACCACCATCAATAATGATATCGCCCTTCTCAAGAAGGGGCAGGAGGGTCTCGATGAAGTCGTCAACGGGCTTACCGGCCATGACCAGGAGCATGATACGGCGGGGGGTCTTGAGCTTGCTGACAAACTCTTCGAGGGAGTGAGCGCCTTCAATCGACTTTCCTGAAGTAACCAGACTGTCAGGGAAGATTCAAGAAAGGGTCTGCGGGAGGGAGAAACCGACCCTTAGCCTCGTTTGCGAGGAAGTGGTCGACCTTGGAAACGGTACGGTTGAAGGCAATGACGTTGAATCCGTGATCAGCGGCGTTCATGATCAGGTTCTGGCCCATCACGGCCAAGCCAATGAGGCCGAAATCTCCGCTGGCATTGCTGTTAGCAGGTGTTGTTTGTTCCGAGCCCGAGGATCCGCGCATGGTGCCACCAATGTTGATGCTGGCGAGTCGAGCACTGGGCGGTCAGAGTGACTCGTGAAACGAACAGTAAGGATTTTCCCTCTCTCGATGTTCCCAGCTCACGGTGGTGACATGGGAAGTCGGGCTGGTTGGCGGCCGAAGAGCCCAGGACGGCGGTGGTGGGGTAGGTGGGATCCGATCGAAAAGGGAAAGAGGGGTACTCACGTTGGTCCACTCATCTTGGCTGGTATTTGAGACGTATCTTGTGTTGTTGGTATTAGGAGGTCCTCAAATATTAACAACGAAGGGTACGTTGGATGGTGAGGGTGAGGGTGAGGGTGAGGTGAGAGTGATGGTGATGGGGAAGGAAGAAATGGAAAGAGAAAGTTGCGTTTGACGGAGGAGTGCTAACTAACAAAATGGTTGGGCGACCCGCCCGGACTGCGCTAGTCAGGGTTGGGTGGAGGGGCAGGATTGCTTTGCTTAGTGAGGTCAAGGATTGATTTAGCCCAAGCAGGACGGGAGGAGCAGAACAAGGACGAGTTGCCGGGCACGCCTCGATCGATGGGATTGATATCGGAAGAGGGGATGGGATGGGATGGGATGGGATGGGATAGAAAAGAGGACCTCCTTCAGTTGGGAGGGCCGAGGGAAACATTCGATGAGCTGGCATAGATAGCTACCGTAGCTCGGTAGCCGTTCTACATCTTCTGCTCCGTAAGTATTATCCGGCGGCTCTTTTTGCTGCATCCTAGCTACTCCACGTTACATCATATCATGCCGGCCGATTACCAAGACCACGAACATCGATCAATGCAGAAACCCAAGTCATGAAATGGGGACTTTTGTTGTGATTGATCATGGCGGGGTCGTACATGATAGGTAGTCGCATCACAATCCACGACCCCTACCCTAAACATCGGGTTGTATTATACAGAAAGCTATAAGAATGAAGTGTCGTCATGTCGGGGTACTCAATCCAGATGGCGGATTTGAAGGATTGCTCAGCTTCCTCAGCTTGCTCAGCTTGCTCAGCTCAGGTGGCCACCGCTTTTGGGCAGAACCAATGGATGCCCACTTTACGCGGGGTCACCTCTAATCACGTGACATACCTCCGAACAGTAAATATAGAGCTATATCCAAGCTGTAGCAGCAAGTGGGCGAAAGGGAACAGCCAGCCAGATGAGCGCTTGGGATGAGGGATCTCGTTCTAGGCGGGAAAAACACATGAAGTGCAGTGGGTCCAGGTCACATGAGCTTTCTTCTCCGAGCAGATTTTCCGTTCCGTGACAAGACTCCATCTCAGCTCTAACTCGACATCTCTTCCTCGACATCAAAACTCACCCTGACATCCCCATCAAACAACTTATCAGTCACCAAATATCCCAACTTCACCAAGCTCCCGCCCAAATTCGACGACGACCAAACTTGCGCCTTCCGAACTCATCGCCACTGCGCAAAGCGCAAGAGGTACGTCTAACACTCATCGCGAGGCAAACGTACAATCATTCATCATGTCCTACCCCCCACCTCCAGGTCTCCCCTCGAAATCTACACCCGCACCACACCCGTCTCTCCCCGCCAGACCACCACCAAGCTCAACTCCCTCATTCAAACCCGCCTTCAATGCCTCCCGCGCCAACATGCCCTCCGCCTTCCCCGGCTTCGCGCCTCGATCCGTAGCACCCCCAACGCAATCTTACAACGCTTATCCACAACCCGCATACCTCCAACAACAACCTCAAGCATATAATGGCTACAATGCCGCTCCTCAGCAAGAAACAGCCTACGGCGCCGCTCCTCAGATCCGCAACCCGTTCGCCCCGCCAAGCGCAACGCCCGCTGGCGCCGCAGCACGTTACGACGAGGATCCCGAGATGGCAGCCCAGATCGCTCAATGGCAATCTGCGTACGCCGCTAAAGACACCTCCTCATCCTCCTCAGGTGGATACACCGGCATCGTGCGCCGTTCGTACCCGAGCGAGACGTCCGGAAACGCGACGAGCGCGAACGCGGCACCGTTAGGAGGAGCTGGACCGAGCATGAGTAACGCCGCTATGACATCCGCCGCGCACAACGACACGGGCGTCGCGACGGTCGTCAACGATGCAAAGACAAACACCAAAACCGTGGTCCGTTCCGGCGGTGGATCAACCTGGACCGATTCCTCTCTTCTCGAGTGGGACCCTGCTCACTTCCGCCTCTTTGTTGGTAACCTCGCGGGAGAAGTCACGGACGAGTCGTTGCAAAAGGCCTTCTCCCGCTGGCCCAGTGTTCAAAAGGCACGAGTAATTCGGGATAAGCGGACGACGAAGAGCAAGGGGTACGGATTTGTGAGTTTCAGCGATGGAGACGACTTCTTCCAGGCGGCGAGGGACATGCAGGGGAAGTACATCGGGAGTCATCCTGTACTGTTGCGGAGGAGCACGACGGAGATCAAGGCCGTCAATCCCAGGGATAAGAATAGGGATAAGCATGGCAAGGGTGGCAAGGGGAAGGGAAAGGAGGACAAGACCGGGGCGGGGGTGCAGAAATCTGGGAGCAAGACGAAAGGGGGTTTGAAAGTTTTGGGATGATGAGTGGATCGAGGACCGAAGGAAGTGATAAGCGCAAATTGAGTATGTGGGCGATATATCGGGAGGTGATGAGAGCGGACTGGGGCCTGCGCTATGAGGGAGTGAGTCGCTGTATGTATACGAATCATGGCAACCAACGGTTGATGGCAGGATGGATGGGGGCTACCAGAGCGAAGAGGTGCATAAGAAGTGAGCTGCGGCCTAGCCAGGTTTGCATAGCAAGCGGTCAATTAGCCTGCCTACCTGCTAAGCGAAGACGAAAACAAACTCCAGATTTCATATCCCATCCCATCCCACCCCATATTCACATACGCATAACGCATCCCTCCATCCAATCATTTCTCAAGTTTTCCAACTCCCCATCAATCCACCAATCCATCCATCCATCAATCCATCAACCCATCAATCCATCCATCCATCAATCCATCCATCCATCAATCCATCAACCCATCAATCCATCCATCCATCAATCCATCAATCCATCAACCCATCAACCCATCCATCCATCGATCCAGCGTTTCAGCTTTTCAGCTTTTCCCTCTCCTCTCTCCCACCTCTGCCATCTCCCATCTCTCCTCTCTGCCTTCTCACCTCTGCCTCCTCCCACCTACCTCCCCCTCTAGAATCCACGCTCCACGCACAACTCAGAGCTCAAACCTTCATCTCAAGAGGGAAGGAGGGTGGTAAGTAGGTAAGGTAGGTAGTGATGGGGGGAAGCTTTCGCGCCGCCTAGCTTAGCTTAGCTTCGCTCCGCCTGGTCTAGCTTAGCTTAGCTTAGCCTAGCCTAGCCTAGCCTAGCTTAGCTTGAGATTAAGCCTCAGCACGCAAGTACCAGGTACTAGTAGCTCGGAAAGAAAAATTTTGTTTTCGTCAGTACTTTTTTTTTTTCTCTTCTTTTCTTTCTTGAAGATATTATTATTTATTTTCTCATCGTTCAGTTCGTCATTCGCTTAGCTCTTTCTTACTCGTCGCTAGTAACGCCACCGCCTCTTCCTCTATACGCTGCTGCTGCTGCTGCCTCGGCTGTTCTTGTGGATTTGATCTGCCTCCCTCTCCTCCTCTCACCATCCCGTTCGAGCTCTCGCCTCTCTTCGCGCCGAATGAGTCTGGCAGGATGTCGCCGTCGGACGTGACATAGCTGCCCCCCGTCCGGCCCCAGTCCTTGTCCCTCTCTCCATCGCTTTCCTCGTCATCGTCGTCGCCCTCGTCCAAAGATCCACGCTCACCCTCCACGCCGACCCGTTTCCCGTGCGCCTCCAGCCGCGCATCGTCGCGCATCTTCCGGATCTTGATCCAGTTGTACGCGGCGATGGCGCCGATGGTGACGAACAGGCCGGAGATGTTGATGGGGGTTAGCGGGTCGTGGAACACGAGGCCGGCTGCGGAGATGGTGACGACCTCTTTGAAGATGCCGGCGATAGAGAGGGTCACGACGGATGTGCGTTGCAGGAGGGCGAACTCTGATGCGGTCATTAGAAAGGCGATGCATCCGGGGAAGAGCAGTAAAAGGGGGCCGAGGAGCAGGCCTTTCTTATCTACAAGGATGACGAATCCCTCAGCGAGGGCGGGGAATCCCTCGACAGGGATAGCGATCAGTAGGAGGGAGAAAAACATTATGGGCGCTAAGTAGAATATTGAACTGAACGGGTTGGAGGTCGCGGGGTTGCGTAGAAGGAGAATCTGCGTCAAGCCCCAGCGAAATCCAGAGAAGAAGGCAGCGGAGATTATGAGGATGAAGCCTAGGACGGAGAAGTCGACTTCGCCTGCGACCATCATTATTACGCCGGCTGTCATGGTGGCGATGATGGCGACGAGGCGCCAGGAGGGGGTTTCGAGGCGGAAGAGGAAGGCGAAGAGAAGGACGAAGGCGAGGGAGGAAGATTTGCACATAGCTGAGAGGGGGGCGTTGCGTTAGCCTGGTGCTGTTTGGGAGAGGGAGAGGGAGAGGGCCGTACTGTAGAATGTGAGGGTAATGAACTTCAGACTCATGTTCCCCAACCCGATATCTAAACCTGTGGCCATACCACACGGTCCTAGCCGCGTTAAGTAGAACATCCTCGTCATGAGCGGCTTTTTGGAGTCAACATCGTGCTGCTCGGTGGCATCGTCCGCAGGGTGGGTATTATGCGGGTTGCTGAGAGAATCATAGCGAGGCCGAAACTGCGGCAGGAAGTAGAGGACGGTAGAGGCGAGCGTAAATTGCACGAGCATGTGGAAGCAGGTTGTGAAGAGCGGGAAGTGGAAATCGAGGTGTTTGGGGTCGAACATCCATTTATTGTACTGCCATTGCCGTCAGCACAGTTCCACGGAATCGAGAGGTCAGTGGTAGCAGACTTACTATGGATATCGACAGCGAGAAGACATACCACAGCCCGATCAACAGCCCATTTATCAAGCTGTTCTTCACCACATTCTGATCCGCCTCCTTCTTTTCCTCGGCCGTGATAGCGATCTTCACACCGGCGTGCCCATCTCCTGCGATCCTCTGATCGAGCAGCGTGTTCTTCCTCCTGCTCTGTCTCCTCCGTCCCTTAATCTTGCCTGTCAGGCCCGTCTCCTCATCATCTTGAAGTCCATCGTCACTCAGCTCGTCTAATTCCAGATCCTCGCTCGTGCTGTCGTCTGAGGTGCGTTCTACCTTGGGGTCTTCTTCGTCAGCGCCTGTTGTGATGGACTTGGAGCTCCGTCTTGGTTTCCCCTTGGTGCCATTCGAATTTGGAGGTATAGAAGAGACACTGGGCGGGTTCATGAGACTGCTCTTCCGCCGCCTGTGGCCTTGCGCCCCTGGATCCATATCTCTGCTCCCACGTTCTCGTTCTCGTTCTTGTTCTCGTTCTCGTTCTTGTTCTCGTTCTCGTTCTTGTTCTCGTCCTCGTCCTCGTTCTCGTTCTCGTTCTTGTTCTCGTTCTTGTTCTCGTTCTTGTTCTTGTTCTTGTTCTCGTTCTCCTGGTTCCTGCGACTGTAACCCCCCTAATGCGGTCGCGGCATCTGCGTCTGGAGAGTTATTAGACAGGTCGGACGTCGATGGGAGCCGCGGTAAGGGGAATCCGGAGCCGTGAGTTGGCAGAGGGGATGCCGGAGGTTGGGAAGAGGAGGCCATGATGAGGTCTCTGTCAACTATGGAACAGTGGGTCCGTTCCTACGGAACGCTGCAACTGCAAATGCAACGAACAAGTCAGTGCTCAGGGATTTCGAAGTCATCTGAGTCGTGCTGTGTCGGGTGAGTGGCTGAGGGGGATAAGTAAGCGCTGGGTAAAGGACGCGCTTGGAGAGCCGGGGAGACGGTTTGGGGATTTAGCTTTTTAGAACTCCAAGGGTCTTGGATTCTAAAAAGCGTTTTAGCCACAACGTGTCGTGAGGGAAGGTTTTATGCTTATACGGATGTGCGAGACGGATGAATTGTGAGGGTATCGCGAATTCTCGAAGCTGACAATTGGCCCTCAGCAAAACCCGGATATATCTTGGCATATGTCGCCGGGATCTGGTGGGTCAGTGGAGAGATGCTGGTGTGTTGGCAGTTCAAGTTTTCTGGCGGGCCTTTCTGCTTTCTTTGTCGTTATGGAGCCCATTTTTTCTGCTTTTCTATTTTGATGCGATTTGATCATCTTGACTTGATTTGTTTTTGATTTGTTTTTAATGCTTTTGCTGGTCTCCATGCATTTCCTGCCCTGGGTCTTTCCGTCATCGCGAGCCCCTTTTTTGTCAAGCGATTCTCGCCTCAGACGTGGGCCAGAAACCGTCTCCAAGTCCCAACAAGAACGCCATATAGAAGACTCCTCAAGCGTGTCTGCTGTTAGTGATCGGTTACAGCGACTTGCTGGCACCTCTGGCATCTCTTCAAGTTGATCTGCTTTTGGCCTTCAGATTTTGCGCACAATGTTGTACTACATGTCTCAAGCGTACCAGGTGAATCTTCTGCGTTAATTGTCTCCCTGAAGCATGTCCTCTGCCGTCAACCGCTGCGATTAGCTTCTGCCACGTGCACCATCCTCATGCTCGTTAGATGAGCGAGTGTTGTACGACACCGTAGTCGCTGTTGAGGAATGGTGATGATGGATCTTGGAGAGAACCCTCTCAAGAAAAGGCTACTTAACTCAGTCTTCAAAGATTCCTCTGGTGCATGCTGATAGGCAAAGAGAATACTGAGCTGCTGTGTACTGTGAGGCTGTAAGTCTTTCGGTAACGAACCTTGCGTATCCTATTCTTCTTCTCCTAGCTGTATGTGTTTCTCTTTGGATGACCCCATCGCCCCGATCTTGGGTTTCTGCAAGGGCAGAAGCAGAGTCTGGAAAGCACCCAGAGTCCTCCTGCTAGCACATCGAGAATCGTGTTGATTATTGTAGTACAGTACTCGATCCCTTCGCCTCGGATGCAAACATTGACTTTGAGCTTCGAGTCTCGCTCCGCGAGCTTCGAGTCTCGACTCCTTGACCGCTGCTCAAAAGCGTCGGGCCAGTGGATGCGGCTGGACTCGAGCATGATCCGTCACACTGCAGGCGCCTCACGGAAAAAAACCCCAAAAGAAATGAGTTCTTTGAAGCTCTTCTCCTTTTCGTGCATGGTCGAGGTCACTTGAAGGAAGGACAGTCCCAGCCTATCACCGCACCTTGCACCGTCCATGCTATAGAGAAAGTAATGGGCATTGAGGATAGAGTTGAAGAGTTGAAGAGTTGAAGAGCTGAAGAGCTGAAGAGCTGAAGAGTTGAAGAGTTGAAGATCACATAGAGCAGAAGAAGAAGTCTTATCGTTATCGAGATGCATAATATGATGACTGAGACAGAAGATAGACAGCCTGGTGAACCTCCTGCACCTTCCCGCTTGGCGAAGGACGATCTTCCCTCCTCTCGACCCTCTCGACCCTCTCGACCTCTCGATCCTCTCGACCCTCTAGACCAATCCTTTCCTTGAATTCCTTCACCTTTCGGATTCTCATTCATCATGCTGCACTCCAGCTGAACCAATCCAAACAGCGATGTCTCGAAGACCACGCAGCCTGAGTCTCAACTGCGCACCACAAACACAGACACAGACACAGACACAGACACAAACATCACAGACGCAACCACAACCACAACCACAACCACCTCTCACTCCAGCCCAGCTGCAGGAGCGCCAACAGAGTCTGTCCGAGGATCGCTATCGGAACGTCGTCTTCGCCCATCAGACACTCGTGGCCCCGATCGTTGCCAATCACCCGGGCGCAAGTCAATTTGCAGATCCACCTGTACCTGTTACTCGACCTCCACCACCTCCACCTCCTCCTCCTCCTCCTCCACCTCCCCAGCCTGCTCCTCTTCCCTCCGCTGCGGGTCTCCCTCTTCCCGGTCCTAACGGTACAGCTACGGGTGTCACCACCACCACCCCTTCTCCTCCTCCTCCCGCCAACGCCTCTTCCCAATTGACATCGGCCAGCACCAGTCCGCGGGCAGCTCCACAGGTAGACGGTCCCTCGTCCTTGTCCTCGTCCTCGGTTACGGTTGTAGCTCCCGTTCCAATCAGTACGGCAATTCGTGCGTCGGTTCTGCGGAGTGGCTCTTCATCTGCAAATCCAATTACTCTAAGTCCAGCATTTCCCCTCCGAATCATCCCGTCTACCAGTAGGTCCAGTTGCGAGGCTCCCAAATCCTTGGCTCTGAAGAAGTCGAAAATGCTGACTCGCCGCTCTCGTGTTTAGGTGCCAGCCCAGTGATTGCAACTGGCACTCCAGTTGACCATCCCACAGAAACCCCTTCGCCTGATCTGTTTTCCCAAAGGGCACCTACAGCCGCCAGTACTTCAGGCCGTAAACGGAGTAGCGGTGCACAGTTCACAATCGGAAGCCCTTCTGCAGAAGCTTCCGAAGACGATTCTTCGCAATCTTCCTAATCACAATGGGGGCCCCCGCGGAAGTCCAAACCTCGCGTAGGAACACCACGGGATACTTGCCTATCGAGAACTATGGTTTAATTGGTAACATGCGCACCTGTGCTTTGGTTGGCATTGACGGTAGCATTGGTTTTATGTGCTGGTAAGTCTCTTGTAGCTGCTCATTCCAAACTTCTTGTCCAGTGCCATTTTCTTTTCCGTTCAATTATCAAACACTCTGTACGATGGCTAACTCTGTATTTTTGGAGGCCCGATTTTGATTCCCCATCGGTCTTTTGTCGGCTCCTCGACAAGGACAAGGGTGGTTACTTTACGATTTCTCCTCCTTCCGACAAGCAATACACTACGAAGCAGCAATACCTCCCCTCATCCAATATCCTACAGACACGTTACATTCACGAAGATGGCGTTGTGGATTTGATCGACTTCTTTCCACGTCCGAGAGACAGTTATGTTGTTGCCAAGGCTGGCAAGCAGATGCCATTTCGCGAGGGTGTCAAGGTGCAAGACGAATTGAAGAAGTGGTTGGTTCGAAGAGTTGAGTGTATTCGGGGCAAGGTTGACCTGGGTAAGTGGACCCCTGATACCCGCTTCGAAAGATTGAAAGTCCACATTTCATCTGCGACTGGCATTCTATATACGGATTCCTGATGAAGATATTGCTAACATGCCATGCATCAGACGTTGAGATCTTTCCTGCTTTCAACTATGCTTTAGACGAACACGCAACCGAGATCCTTCTTCCCGAACACCCTCCTGGATGTCCAGATAGTAAAACTGTGACTTTTTCCAGCAAGAATCTCAAGCTCCAGCTCGATGTTACTATCGACCACGGCGAGGAGGATTCGGCATCATGCCCAGCTGTCAGCTTCCGCAAAGAGACCAAGCCTGGCATGCTTGGTGCAGGTAAGACATGGCATTTCTTGCCAATTTTTTGTGCTGACACCACCAGGGGTTCTCGCACACATTCATCTGGTAGAGGGGCAAGCTATTTCGTTTGTCCTTCGAGATGACATCCCTAATCACGTCACTCGCGATGTTACCACTGAAGTACTTGATCGTCAACAGCATGACACCCAAACTTTTTGGTTCAACTGGATCTCCAAGAGTAGCTACAAGGGCCGGTGGCGGGAGGTTGTCTCGAGAAGCTTGCTCATCCTCAAGTTACTGACCTATGAGCCAACTGGTGCGATTATAGCTTCTCCAACTTTCTCCATTCCCGAAGAAATCGGAGGTACTAGGTATGTTCAACGTGTAAGCTGTCTGGTCTTAGCTGATCACCTGCAGAAATTGGGACTATCGCTTCTGCTGGGTTCGTGACTCTAGTTTCACCATCTACATTCTTCTCCGGATGGGCTTCACGGAAGAGGCGGATGCATACATGGAATTCATTAGTGAGCGTTTCCGAAAATCGAGGTCTCCAGACGGTGCTCTGCCCATCATGTTCACGATCCGTGGCGAAACGGAGATTCCCGAAGTCGAATTCGAGTGAGTGGTGCAGTATCCGATGTAGATGACCCGAGCTAACAAAAAGTATCAGCCATCTCTCGGGATATCGAGACAGTAGGCCTGTTCGCATTGGTAACGGTGCTGCATTCCATCAACAATTTGACATCTACGGCGAGCTTCTCGATGGCATCTACCTGTACAACAAGTATGGGAAGCCAGTCACTTGGGAGCAATGGGTCGCAGTTCGTGAGATTCTAGGTCAGTGACGCCTCAGGCTCCTTTTCCTTGGCTAATGCAATCCAAGATTACTGCCTCACTATCTGGAAGGACCCAGACATGTCAATTTGGGAAGTCCGCAGCAGAAAACAAAACTATACTTACTCGAAGGTCATGCTTTGGGTTGCCTTTGACCGAGGTCTTCGGCTGGCTGAGAAGAGATGCTTACCATGCCCAAATCGTAACAAATGGATGGAGACCCGAGATGAGATCTACGAAGAGATCATGAACAAAGGTAGAATCACCACTCTCTCCAATAATATCGACAAGCTAACTTCTCGCAGGCTACAGTCCAAAAATCCGCTGCTTTGTACAAAGCTACGAGAGCGGCGATCATCTCGATTCTTCTATCCTCATCGCTCCCCTTGTATTCTTCATCTCGCCCAACGATCCTCGCTTCCTGCGAACCATGGATAGAATCCTCCAATCTCCCGAGAAAGGTGGACTGACATCAACCGGTCTTGTCTATCGCTATGATACTGATCATGTTGAAGATGGTTTGTAATCTTTCTCTGGTTTCTGGCAACATCGCTGACATCTTACAGGGGTCGGTGGTCGCGAAGGAGCTTTCAGCATGTGTACCTTCTGGCTGGTCGAAGCCATGACACGCGCTGGAGTTTATGAACCGAAATATCTTCCTCGTGCAGTCAACATCTTCGAAAACATGCTCAGCTTCTCTAATCACCTCGGCATGTTCTCCGAAGAGATTTCTCGATCTGGCGAGCAGCTGGGCAATACCCCTCAAGCTTTCAGTCACCTCGCTCTGATCAGTGCGGCGTTCAATCTTGACCGTGCTACGGACTATAAACGTTGAAGAACAGAACAGTGCTTGGGGTGACGATGGTGTTTCTATTACTAGGGCGGTAATACAAACTTTGGCACGAATAGCATGAGATATGATGAAACGGCTTGCTGCGAAAAGAGATTTGCTTTTCTCGAATGGTCTCGGAAGAAGTCTAGATATATTAATTCTAGCTCTCCTTGCTTGCTTTACAATGCTATACTTTCCACTCTTGACGTTCAATTAAAGTTTCAACTAACTGTGTTGTGTTTTCTTGCTACTCTATCAGAAAGTCAATTCCTGGGCCAGATAACAAGATGACTATTTCTTATCGCCTAAAATTAAAGGCAAATATCTCGTAGCTTATTATCAAGACGGCCCCTGGGCTTATCTCTTGGAACTATAAAAATTGATTGGATGAAAATATTCAGAACGGTTTAATCGTTTATTGACTCGCTCGGTCGCTCGTTCGGTCGCTCGGTTAGGCACGCAGGCGTAGGTTCGCAAGTGGTTTCCAGCCGAGCCCGAATCCGAACCCGAATCGGTTCGACGGGGGCTACGGTACCTATTCATTCATTCATAAGCGATATTTATTTATTACATAATCAACTCAAGAAGGGAGGAAAATGTATTTATGTGTAGGTAATAGGTTTATTTTGGGGGGGGAAGAGAGAGAAGATTGGATGGGGCGGGGGGATATGGCCGTTTTTGGGGGGGGGTCTGGTGAAGGTAAGGATATGGATGAGGTTGAGGATGGATTGGGGTGGATGGATGGATGGGGGGGAGATTGAGCGCTGATGGATGGATGGATGGATGGATGGATGGATGGATGGATAGATAGAAGGAGTGAAAGGAAGAGAGAGAGACCTCTTGCCATCTTTCTTGTATCACGTGTGCATGATCCTGTGCTGCTAGTCGAGGGACGAAAGAGGAAGGTGCGAAATTCTGAACAGGGTATTCAATGTAACAACGATCGGCAGTCCAGTTCTGTTTCGCTGGAAGAGGAGAACCTTCCCAGGATAAGAATAAAACCAACGCAGAAGGTGTTACGCCGAGAGGGAAAACAAAGGGGCTGGAACTACCGGTGTGCGTGCGGTAATTAATGAAAATTTGGAATGGCTCGCTCGTTTACTTGGTAACTCGGCTCTGGCGGAGCTCGAAGATTGACAACTGCTCTCTCTCTCTCTCTCTCTCTCTCTCTCTCTCGCTTCCCGTGGTGCAAATGAGCTCTCCTCGACAAGCACGACATTTCTCCCCATGTTGCACACATCGACGGACTGCTCCTGGGACATGGTTGGTCAGAGTTTCGAGGTTCGAGGTTCCAAATGGCCAACTGTTCGACGCACTCTTCCGGACAGAGAGCCTTGTAGTTGATCCAGACCTTTGGTTCTAGACGGTGAGCAGCTGGCATCTCGACGGGGCAAGGAACGCTGCGCCCAATTTTGGTGGTATACAGCTCCCTGAAAAGCAGCCGGGCGAAAAACTTTCGGTAGAGTTCTGTACAGTACTCACTGCGAGATCCGAAGATACGCTGGTTCCTTTCATCAGGAGACTGGTTCTGGAAAGATGCGAAGGGTGAAGTTCAGGGGGGGTTTTAAAGGTCAGGCTGCGAACGAATATCTAGGAACCCGTGGACTGACGCTGTGTCACAGCTAACACGGTCTTCTTGATTCTTTCGCGAGCGGAAGATTTGATGTCTTGTTTTTCCCGTCAAGGGTGTGTATAATAGATACGTCAGGGATCATTTTCAAGGACTTCTGGGAGTTTCTATTGATTGGATAGTATGGACTTCAAGCTGGCTAGCAGCTCTCATCGATGAGCGATTGGTTCGGAAAGCTGTCGTATGCAGGAGTAAGGTAAGGACATGTAGAAATATTCAATCAACTGGGAGCTTTGATCAGAGAGGAAAAGGTGACATATCAACCGCTTGCCATTAGATGACTGTTAGATGACATTACGTCGTCTCCAACTGTCCCTTCAGCCGCTGAGCAACAGCTTGTGTAGTGGTGACCTGCAGATGACGATATAGTAGCCGCTTCCATTGGGGCTGTTTTCTCCCCCCGGGACTACAAGGTAGAAGGTAGAATATTTCTCTCGGGCGGTACATCTACAACCATGCAATGTGAAGGTGCAAGCCCGAAACATCTATCGAGGACTCGAGTCCGGCGGAGACACTGTATGCAGACGAAGCGGACCGAACAGTCTTGTACCAGCTTACTCTTGGTATCTTTGGCTTCATTCTGTCTTCGGCTGCTGCAAAGCCTCTCTGTAAAGTCGGATGTGGCAGGATGTTCAAGAACGTTGAGGACCTGGTATACGTAGGTCTCGCTGCATCAAATTCAAGTTATCAACAACTTGACATTAAAAGATTCCCTTCAAGGCTCTCCAAATGCTATTTCATAATTCAATAACCAGCTATTCTTGCATATTGTGGTTTTTCTATTTCTGAGGTCCCGCTCGCTTTTTTGACATCGTCGTCGTTGCCATGTGGTCGTCGCCCACGACAACGACGGTTAGCGCCAACGCGGGAAAAAACCGCCTCTGTTGACATATTCATCTTCGCCCGAGCTGGTAACCACCTCTCCTCCCCAGATACACCACATCCACGCACCTAGCTTTACACCTACTCTGCTGGATAACTGTTTTGTATCTACAACATCTCTCTACCGCTTCAAGTCTCACCACCTCGTTGCGCTCACCACTGCTCTTTCACACCCACCTTACCTCATCCTCACATTTACTTTTTTCCTCTTACACCTCACCAACCACCAAGATGCGCTTCGGAATCGTCGCCGCCGTTTTCAAGCTGAGCTTGAGTTCCCTTCCTGCCGCCACCGCCGCAATTATCTCCCAGATTAGCGCTTTTGACTGCCACCTCCCCGGCATTTTCGAGCTTCCTAAAACCCATCCCATCAGCGCTGCTGAGTTTCAAGCTCTCTGTGTCTCACTCTCGGGGATGTCGCTTCGGCCTTCTTCTCGAGAGTCTCGCTGTGAGTCCCGCCGTCCCTCTCCGTTCTCGCACCACCTGCTGACTCGTCGATCTCCCAGTGAAATCCTCAAACGCTCTCCCCGGCCCCAAGAAGAACGTCCGTTTCGTCCAAGATCCCACAGACCCGAAGATGGATTTGTGCGAGTACCGGGAGTTCGCGGTTCGCAGACTCCAACCCACGCCCAAGTCTGGATGCTCGCCGCATATCCGTGGACTCAGCTACGTGACCAAGGCATCGGGCGGCAGGATGTTCTTGAAGAAGGAGCTCGGCAACTTCCTCCCTTCTCAGCCTGCTGGCATGCACCGAGCTCGATGCAAAGGTCTCATTGAAAGCGGTGTTTGCACCAGGTGTGACCGTTCTCCGTTCGCCTTGAACCCTTCCTATCACGACCCTCACCCCGGCGCTCCCATTGTCGACGGCCAGCCATACTTCACTTGAATCTCTCTTCTCTCGCCTTCAACTCTCGACCACTGACTTTGACTTGGACTTGGACCGACGCTGACCTGGCCCTTCTCCACGGTACGTCGACACTCTCCCTTCTATATTGAAATAGGTGCGCCTTATCAGCCATCCCCCCCTCTCCCCCCCCCCCATCCCGAAAAAATAAAGGTCCATCATCGTCATTTCAGGGCTGGTTACCCGGGGACAGGCGTTGATGGGTATCAAAAACAATCACCAAAACAGCGGACATCGCATCGCATCTATCAAACATATAGGGCTTCGGCACCCCGTCTCCTCTCCTCTCGCTCAGCAAACGACTCTTGTGGATGAGACTCCGGTCTCTTGTACGCTTACCGTGTGCGTGTGTTTTTTTTTATTAGGATCTAGGTTTCCACTCTTCGAATCGTGTCGTATGGTATGATATCGTATCGCATCGCATATCAGTCAAGACTAAATAGGAAACGGCCCCTGGTCCCGATGAGGTGGGGGCCCATCGCTCGCTACCCTCCAAGCAAGTCAGTGTCATGTTGTTCACTGCTGCCACTACCACGACTTGGGCGAAGAAAGTGATATCCACGTTGGACCACGCCCCGCGTTATCTGAACCTCAGCATCCGAAACCCAGGACGCCTAGGAATCGAGAAGAGCGTTATCCGAATATAAGTCACCCGCCACCGAGTCGCCCGAGACCCAAGAAGAGCGTTATCCGAATAAAAGTCACCCGAATCCGAAATCGAGTCGCCAAGACCAAACGACCAACTTACTCGAACACAACTCACCCGCCACCAAGTCGCCCGCGACCCAAAAAGAACGCTACATCTACATCTATCCAACACAACACAACACAACACAACACAACACAACACAACACAACACAACACAACACATGCCCTAAACTCCGAAAAAGGCTTCAGCGTCAAGTCCCAAGTCAAAGTCCCAAAAAAAAGTCAAGTCGCCGCTCCGTTAATACCATACCATACCATGCTACACCTCTGCATCGACGACTCCGGACATCACGCCAACAGACACCCTCAAGACAGACAGACAGACAGACAGGCAGGCCGGCAGGCGCAGCTCGCGATAAGTCACGGCGCCTGCTCATCCTGCTCATCCGCCTCCGCCCTCACTCACCAGCAACGCAGCAGCAAAGCAAAGCCTCCCCCGACTTTCAGCACCCGAGCAGGCCCCTTTTTTTTTTTGTTTTTTTTTTTCTTTTTGCTTGTTTTTTTTCTTTAGGATTGTTTTACTTGGATTGTTTTTTTGGGGGATTGTTTTCATTGGATTTTTTTGATTTTTTATTGTGTACCCAATGATGTGCGTGCATGCGCGGAGGGCCAAGGGGAGGTCCTCGTTCGCGGGGCACCTCTAGGCCTAGGGAGGGAGTACCGGCCGGTACCGTAGAGGGAGGAAGGAAGGAAGGGCTATATAGATAGATAGGTACGTGTACATATATATATATACATACATATATTATGCACGGAGAGAGATACTCGTGAGCTTGTGAGCTTGTGAGCGGGTTGCGATCGGCGAATACGCTGTAGGGGGTCGGGGG